ACAGGCAGTCTCCCTGCAAGTGAAAAATAAAAAATAAAGTTAAAAAAATAAAGCAATCAGGGTAAAAAAAATTTATATAATGTCATACTAAGTGTATTTGCATATTTATATATACATATATTAATATAGAAATACACTTTTAATTAAAATTACACACGTATATATACAATATATATAATAACTATATATATTGTTTGTGTGTGTGTATATATATATATATTATACATTTTTAAATATGTTAATAAAAATAAATAACAAAGTAAAAATTGTAATTATTAAAAAAATAAAATATATGTATATGTAATTTTATTCTAACAGTATTTTGATATTGATATATATTTATATCAAAATACACTTAGATATATATATCATTACATTCTATGTAAAAATAAATAAAAATAATACGAAACATACATAATTACATAAATAATTTCATAAATATACACGTAGACTTCAAATATATAAATATGTATATATATTTAAATTCTACGTGCATATTTATGTAATATTATTACATAATTAAGTAATTTTATTGATTGCAATTTGAGGGACATGCCTGAGAACCCAGGCCGAAAGTCCAGAGAATTGAACTGTGTTTAACCCTGTAACTTTCTATGACACCCTAAAACCTGTACATGGGGGGGAACTGTTTTACTCGGAAGACTTCGCTGAACACAAAAATTAGTCTTTCAAAACAGTAAAACATATCACAACGATGATATGGTCAGTGAAAGTGAAGTTTTTTGCATTTTTCACACACAAACTGCACTTTCACTGATTATATTACTGCTGTGATAGGTTTTACTGTTCTGAAACACTATTATTTGAAGTCTCCTGAGTATAACAGTACCCCACATGTAGAGGTTTTATAGTGCTTTTGAAAGTTACAGGGTCAAATATAAGGCTTAATTTGTTGCGTTATTTGGTGCCCCATAATTTTTAAAATTAAAGGAAAACAATATGGATGCTGGTAGACTGGCCGCTTCCATATTTTCAGAATATTAAAACTTAAATGAATCTATTGGAATTATACATGATATACAAATGTAAACTAAATGTGTGATTGCTACAGTAATGTCTATAACTGCATCCTTGACTGATTTAGGGGTAAAAGGTAATATAGATATACTAATATAATTATATTCTATTTTTCTTTGTAAAGATGAATGTATCAATCAGTTATTCATACAGGTTAGATGAATACAGGATATAAGCATATTGCATGATGATTAATATAACCAACCCTGTTTCAATTAAAGAATATACATAACCAAAGACAGATATTTAACGTTATTTGAAATATCCCCAGTATAGGTGAATTAAAGGTCAATTCATTTATTTAACCAGGCCATCAATGATCTAATTCAGGTCTTCATATCTAGGGAAATAGTGCCATCTATTGATGAAAGTCCTAAGGGCCACATTAATAATTAAATATTAAGATCCGCCCATAACCAATCAAAAGTCAGATTTAAGTCCCAGGTACCGCTTATTTACAAACAAGGGGCAGGAACTGATAAGGGGGAAATAATGGTTAAATAGTGAGAAAAATAAAAGAGAGGGGCGATATCTTCAGATCATCTTGAAAAAAGATCAAAGGAGAAAACAGGGGGCTAAGAAAGGAGGAGATTGACTGACTAAGGGCAATAGACTGAGTTACAGACCAGAGCACCCAGAGAGGAGAATCCCAAATTGAATTCCTTCATCCTAGACTCTTGGTAATGTATAAAGGTTTCTCTTTACTTTATATTAAATAAACGGGACTATTGAATGCACTATGTCTCTATATTGTGAACTCATCCCTATTGATAGAACAGTTATATCTCATTCTACCTGCAGCCTGAGTCAGAAATAACTTCTTAAGTCTGAACATTCTTGATTCCTGCTTTAGACGTGGATCCGTTCTATATATATATATATATATATATACTATCAGAAACCTTATATAAACGTACTGTAGTTAAACTGATGGTATATACTTGGCAGGGTTGGTTGATATTTCACTAATTATTCAAATCACAATTGTATCATTGTGAGAAAAGAAAAGTAAAACAAGGATTAGTTAGATTAAAAACAAAAGAAGGAAGGTATGTAGAAGAGGATAACGGTCTAGCTGACTGCCTCAATTAATATATTTGTTCTGTATTTACAGATGAAAATGAAGGAAAGGGACCTCAGTTAAGAAAAAAGGATAAATGAGTCATTTATTACACGTGACTTTACAGAGGAAGATTTCAACTGTCAAAAGTAAAGACAAATAAGTCAATGGGACCTGATGGAATACACCCAAAGCTATTAAAAGAGCTTAGTGGTGTACTAGCAAAATCATTAACAAATTTATTTAACCAATCATTGTTAACAAGAGTAGTCCCAGTAAAACTTGATTAACAAAAAAAAAAAGAAAAAAAACAAGAGTAGTCCCAGAAGATTGGAAGTTAGCGAATGTTGTGCCCATTTACAAGAAAGGTAATAGGGAGGAGTTGGGCAACTATAGGCCAGTAATCCTTACTTCAGTAGTGGGGAAAGTGATGGAAACCATGTTAAAGGATAGGATTGATGGACATCTAAAAACACATGGATTTCAAGATCAGAGACAACATGGGTTTACTTCAGGGAGATCATGCCAAACTAATCTTATTGATTTTTTTGATTGGGTAACTAAAATTATAGATCAGGGTGGTGCAGTAGACATTGCTTACCTAGATTTCAGTAAGGCTTTTGACACTGTTGCACATAGAAGGCTTATCAATAAACTGCAATCTTTAAGTTTGGATTCAATATTGTTGAATGGGTAAGGCAGTGGCTGAGTGACAGGCAACAGAGGGTTGTAGTTAATGGAATATTTTCGAAGCTTGGACTTGTCACCAGTGGGGTACCTCAGGGATCTGTACTTGGACCCATTCTCTTTAATATTTTTATTAGTGATATTGCAGAAGGTCTTGATGGTAAGGTATGTATTTTTGCTGATGATACTAAGATATGTAACAGGGTTGATGTTCCAGGAGGCATAAGCCAAATGGCAAATTATTTAGGTAAACTAGAAAAATGGTCAGAATTGTGGCAACTGACATTTTAATGTTGATAATGCATCTTGGACGTAAAAACTCAAGGGCACAGTACAGACTATTTGATAGTCCTAACCTCAACATATGAGGAAAGGGATTTAGGGGTGATTATTTCAGATGACTTAAAGGTAAGCAGACAATGTAAAAGAGCAGCAGGAAATGCTAGCAGAATGTTGTTGTATAGGGAGAGGTATTAGCAGTAGAAAGAGGGAAGTGCTCATGCCATTGTACAGAACACTGGTGAGACCTCACTTGGAGTATTGTACACAATACTAGAGACCGTACCCTTAGAAGGATATTGATACCTTAGAAAGGGTTCAGAGAAGGGCTTTTATAGTGTGTATTATTAAATGTATATATATTTTAAGCAAAGTCTGTTTATTGGCCACCATAAGTGTTTATATCACCGCTTAAAACAAATAACTACATGGTTCCTGAAGGCTCTATGTGTGTGAATATCATCAGATATTATTCAATCTATATTCCATACATATAAAACCTTAGATTACCCAACAAATTTTTTTCATTGAAATTTGTCAGATTGGTAATGTTGCCTTTGACAGAGTATGGTAGCCCAGGAATGAGAATTACCCCCATGATGGCATATCATTTGCAAAAGAAGACAACGCAAGGTATTGCAAATGGGGTATGTTCAGCCTTTTTAGTAGCCACTTAGTCACAAACACTGGCCAAAGTTAGCTTTTTTTGCATTTTTAACAAACAAACAAATATAAATGCTAACTGACCAGTGTTTGTGACCAAGTGGCTACTAAAAAAGACTGGCGATACCCCATATTAAATACCTTGGGTTGTCTACTTTAAAAAATATGTACATGTGGGGTGTGATTCGGGGATTTATGACAGATAACAGTGTTACAATGTCACTATTGATAAATGTAAAAAAAAAATAAAATAAAAAAAATATATATATATATATATATATATATATATTGAAAGAGCAATTTCCTACCTGTACTTATAGCCCTATAACTTGCAAAAAAAGCAGGTAAACACTGGTTGTTTTTAATCTCAGGACAAAACTCAGTGTATTTTCTTTCTCATCTTGAGGTAAGACTATATTCTTTATCTTCAAATTTCTTAATATTCATTGGAAATAAAATATTTTTCTTTCAATAAAAGTCTTCTCACTTCGCCACATTTATTCCTTTTTATAGATGTCTTCTCCCTCTGCCTCCCACCGCTCAGGTTAAAAAAAAATCATAGGTAAACCAATGTTTATATGTATATAAGGGGAATAAAAGAATGTCTTACGGGCCCCATAGTTACTTACATGGTCCTTCTTATTTTGCAGCCCAAGCATGAGCTGGGACAGATCTTAGAGGAAACATAAGTAAAAATCTAAATGCTGCTTGGCAATAAGACTGCTCTAGAGGGTAAAAACCTATGCCTCACCTGTATGTCAGAAGTGGCAGACATCCTGCCCAGGAAAAGTTCTCCTCAAGAAGAACGTAAAACCTGGATATCCCAAGCCATAGCTGAATTCTTCAAGGATTCTACAAAACACACTGTAAGGAAACCAAGTGCATTTAAACCTTAATCGGTAGTTTCCTCCTGAACCGCCAGAGCCCAGTGAATATAGCCCTCCGTTCAGTAGTTATGGTAGACAAATCCCAATTGTAAATCCAATAGTGTCCCTGGATAATTCCCACAGTAAAACACACGAACTCCCAAACAGCATACGTAGTCAGAAGGGTACAAAGATGAACTGAAGGTTTATTGACAGGCATGCTCTTTTTATGGAATTTTTATGGAATTCTGCCCATGCAAGGGAGCCTCCCATATAATTAGCCATACATCCAATCCTAACAAAATACATACTGTACATCTCCTCCCCTCAGATAACCATTAAACACAATTAAAACGTAACAGAAATTCCCCAAAGTTTGGATGTACTCCAAGGACTTGGGGTACATACATAATTTTGGTATACCCAGATAGTTGTTCTCTGGGGGACCAACATATAAAAAACTCAGTTCATTCGGTTCAGCCGTTCGGGAGATATGGACTTAGAAGTTTTGACCGACTGCACGGGCAAAGTAGCCGAAAACAGTTCCATGAATTCTGGCCCTGCAGTTGGTCTTAGGTCGCATGAAAAACCTCCCGAACCGCCGGCCATCCAGCTACCATCCTTGGTTCGCTTGATTTCCCCATCCGTTAGTAAGTTTGGAAGGGGGTTTACCGAAGGTCTGGAGGCTTCAGCGGTGTTCGCCTGTTTGAGTGTCCGTTTTCAGTTCCAGACACTCAACGGCAAACACCGCTGTTCGGGAGCTAAAATGGCCGCGAACACGTGGAAGTCCCGAAATGGTGGCGAGACATGTCGTTCGTGCAGAACTTCTGTCGAATGTAATCCAGCCAGCAAGGGGGTACAGTCTGTATAATGGGCAACGGGGTGGTCTGCATTCGGTAGTTTTACCTACTGAATGCCATAGGGAACATTACTATTAAACAAACGAATACAAAATTTACAGTATAAGAGGGGCATTTTTTCCCACACACCTCCTCTCGAAAATATCAAAGAGCTGAATTCTCTTCTCCCTCATCTGAGTCTGAACTGGAATTCTTTGAGGATATTTCTAACGAGGAAGAGGAGTAGACAGTTTGGCACTAAATCCTTAGACTCCAAATCTGTTAAGAAACGTATCTTCTTAATAAGAAATGCCCTAAAATTACAGGAAAAAGACAGAATCCCTAGAATCTGACAAATATTTTGTGGACCTCAGATCCTTCAAACCCTAATTTTCTGTGCATCCTTCTATCAAGGAAATGATCCTTAAGGAATAGGCCAGGCCAGAGAAGAAAGTTACCCTAAATAATATGAATCCAAGGATCTACCCATTTGCTTCCAAGGATTGCAAAACTTGGACTGTGATCCCATAAATAGATGCTGTAACGAACGCTGGTATAACCTATACCCATTCGTCTGTTTCCTCCCAGAGCATGAGTGATTATAACTTGCAGTTCTGGAATTGAAGTGCACAATTCTCCATATGAAATAACACCCTCCCAAGTAGATTTAAGGGAATATTTAAGGGAACCTATGGAGAAAAAGACTGGATGCCAACCTAATAAAAGCTTATCTGTCTCTTGGCTCAGCTTTACAACCCTGTCCAGAGCTATGAAAGTATGGTTAGACAACCTGGAAGAAGATCTCCAAAGAGGTATAAGAAGAGAACACCTTCTGGAAACCCTTTGGGATTTCAGACTCGCAGTGGACTTCAGTTTCAAAGCATACCTGGATGCATCCAAGATGATCGCCAAAAGCATGGCATTATCTGTCTCAGCCAGAAGAGACCTGTGATTACACTCATGGGGATCTGACTATTCTTTGAAATCCTCCCTTTGCTCGCTTCAATTCCAGGGTGATCTCCTTTTAGGGAATGTCCTTAATGAGGCTATCCAAAAAGTAGCAGACAGCAAGAAAACTTTCCTACCTCAAGGGAAGAGAAACCCATACTCAGCCTCATGGAAAGACAAGAGGCTTTCAAGACAATATATCATATCAATATATCATATCGACCAGGTAAAGAATACAACAGATATGCATCTTGGAGATCCTATCAGTCTCCTTCATCTTCCTCTAAAACCAACAGAGGGAGGGGATCGAGAGTCCCTTCTAAAAACCTCTGGAGGTTTACAGGCCCACACAGACTGCTTAGGAGGAAGATTTCATAATTTCCTATCGGTCTGGGCCACAAATATATCAATCTCATGGGTCATGTCTATCCTCGATCAGGGATACAGAATCAAATTTGACTCCATTCCTCCAATCAACTCATTCATACGGTCAAGAAAACCCTCAGGGAAAAAATGGGAAGCCTTGATATCCATTGTCAAAAAACTACTCCAAGGTGTCATAGAAAAGGTGCCTCTTTCAGAAAGATACAAAGGTATCTATTCAACAGTGTTCTTGGCCCCAAAACCCAATGGGAAATGGAGACTGACTATAGATCTGAAAGAAAACCAACATATTTCTGAAATGCCAATCATTGAAGATGGAATCCACATCCACTATTATTCCCAACATCAACAGAGGGAATTGGCTAAAGGCCATAGACCTGAGGGTGGCATATTACCACATTCCCATCTACCCTCTCAGTCGCAAGTTCCTCCAATTTCATATTCTAGGACAACATTACCAGTTCAGAGGCTTCCTTTCGGCTTAAGCCTTGCTCCAAGGACTTTCTCAAAAATCTTAGTGGCCCTTATAGCACATCTGAGAAAACAAAGGCTAGTTATATTTCACTACCTAGACAACACTTTGATAGTTGCTCCGTAACTTCAAGAAGCCTCTCGTCACAATATACAGGCCCTGAACTGTCAACAAGAACATGGTTGGATTTTCAACAAAGAGAAGAGTGCCCTGAATCCTTCACAACAAGCAACTTTGCTGGGTGCCTACATAGACACCAAAGGAGCAAAGGTCTTCCTATCACAAGAGAGGATAAGGAGACTGGAAAACAAGATTCTGTCTCTGTCCTCCCTTAATCACAGCCAAGGAGTACATTCTGGGCTTGCTAACCTAAACCATAGGATTAGTTCGCTGGGCTCAATGGAATTTAAGAACAATCCAATTACATTTCTGAATCTGTTCAACCGCTATCACAACAACTGTAAACAAATTATTCAAATTGCACAAGCAACAAAAGATCAATTGGTATGGTGGCTACAGTGAGACAATCTATGAAGAAGTTTTCCTTTAGATCCCCCTTGGCAAATTATCACCACGGATGCAAGCATGACAGGTTGAGGTGCTCACATGGAATCTATATGGATACAAGGCACTTGGAACCCATCATAGAGGTACGTTCACTCAAACCTGCGGGAATTGAGGACCATATGCATTGCATTACAGAGACTCCACAGGGTCCTCAAGAGCCCTTGACTATCTATATGTATAGACAACAGAGCAGTGGCTGCATATATAATTCACCAAGGAGGCACAAGAAGCAAACTTCTCTTATGAGAAATTACTACGTTGATGTCCTGGGCGCAAGTTCAAATCAAGGGGATGAAAGCAATCTATCTCCCAGGAACAGAAAATATTCTGGCAGATTTCCTTGGCAGAGCTCGCATACTACCTGGCGAGTGGAGCTTGAACCCCAGAGTTTTTTGAGTTCTGACGAAGAGGTGGGGCATACCCCAGGTAGACCTAATGGCTGACAGAGGGAATGCTCAGGTGACAAACTACTTTTCACTCTCCAAGGACCCTCATGCTTTGGGTCAAGAAGCCCTTTCCCATCATTGGAACTTCAACCTTGAGTATGTGCTCCCTCCCCTGATTCCCTCTGATGCCCTGGGTACTGAGAAAAATCAGGAAGGTGATAGCCATTATTCCGATCTGGCCCTGGAGAACTTGGTATGGAAAATGTCTGACCCATCCTTAGTTACTTCCAATCTCCCCGCACGGTCTAATCCAGGGTCCAGTGACTCACCCCAATCCATCCAGCTGGAACTTGGGGGCCTGGCTGTTGAAATGGGTTCCCTTCTTAAGCAGGGCCTATCCAAAGCAGTAATTAATACACTCCTGAAGGCAAGGAAACAGTCTACATCTACCTGCTATTACGAAATTTGTCGGCCCTCATGGGAATTTCTCCCTCTCATCTCAAGGTTCTTTAGTAAACTCAATACATTATATAACTCGTTCAGTTGATTTGTGCTACAATGTATAAATAACTAAACTGGTTATCGCTGAAATCCAGATGGACCCTTCATCTTTCCAGCCTTGTGTTTACGAGCTTTTCTGGGAAGCTCCCGCCCTACCTGAGCAGAATGCTGTCTCCGGCTGTTCCCCCTCCTGTTACCTCCAATCCAGTACCAGCACTTTATTTAGTCTACCTCAATACAAAAAGAAAGCAGCCCAATCCTCCTTTTCCTACAGAGCACCGCAATTATGGAACGACCTCCTGCACATTTTCAAATCTTCCCCAAGCATAAAATCCTTTAAGAGACCCCTCTCTACATACCTCAAAACAGAATGCACGTGTCATGGTTGATTATATACCTCCTACCTGCTCTATGTTAAATATTGTATATATTTTGTATTAATATTGATTTTTATTTTTTTATTTTATTGTACCCTATTGTATCAATGCAATGTTTTGTGGACCCAGGACATACTTGAAAATGAGAGAAATCTCAATGTATCTTTCCAGGTAAAATATTTTATAAATAAAAAATAAATAAAATCTCCACAGAGCTTTCAGCCATTACCTCCGTGCTTAGCTCTGCACTCCATTGAGCCAGAGAACCATGTGCTGATGAAAACATCTCAGAGTGCCATTGCAACCATTCTGGGGGGCACAGTGGGAACCTTGCCCGCAAACAGGGCTAGACAAGCCCACCAGTATACTGAAAAAATGAGGTAATCAGGGGGTCCAGCCATTTAATAGTGCTCCAGACCCTGACTGTGTGTGTGTCAGTATGTGTATCTGACTGTGTGTGTGTACCTGGCTGTGTGTGTATGTGTTTTTGGCTATGTGTGCTTGTGTGTATCTGGCTTGTATGTCAGTCTGTGTATCTGGGTCTGAGTGTATCTGACAGTGTGTGTCAGTGTGTGTCCTCCTTGTTCTCTGATACTGTTTTACAATGCAAAAAGGTATTTTGAACTAATCTCTGATTCTCTGAGGCACCCGTTGGATTACAATAATGTAATTTGGAAGATCATATCTTTAAAGTTTTTTTTTTTTAAGTGGGGGAGTTATCTTTGGAGGTTTCCTGATAGTTTACATCCCACAACCAGCTCAGATATTGTCACTAAGTTGAACCCAGTCACAGGACTGATGCTCTTTCTTTCCTTACCCTGATCAACTATAGGGAGTCAGGAGATGTAAGATGAGAACACAGAACATTGGGAATGAACTCCAGGTCATTTTGCCATCTTGCAACACTCTGGTCAGGCTTTTACCTGCAGTGATCTTTGTGAACTCCTGCAGATAGGCATTTGTATGCTGAGGCATAGTGACACAAAACATCTGTGCACTATCTAATCTAATCTAATTGTGTTTATGACCACGGCATTGGATGCATCTCTTTATTTGATCAACATCTGCTTTATATGTTCCTTGAAATATTAGTTTAAATACGTCACCCTCAATGGTTTATGTATGGTGGTGGGATATGTTTGTATGTCAACCATGAGTTAAAGCCAAATCTCAAGCAAGTGGAATATGACGAGGATCATGTGGAAGCTTTAGGGGTAGATATCTGCGTGGGGCAAAAGAAGGGGAATCATTTATTGGTTGGTATATGCCAAAAAACACCTAATGTTGATATTGATGAGGAAGAACAGCTTTTGGAGGAAATTGGGAAAGCTGGGTAACACAATAATTATTGGAGAATGTAATTACACAGAAATAAATTGGGATACAGGGACTAGCAAGGGTAATCAGGTTTTTAACATGTAAAATTGCACTTTCATGTCACAACTGGTACAAACACCAACTAGAAAGGATGTTTCACTGGATCTGGTTAAAGCAAACAATGTTAATCTTTTAACCAACATTCAAGTAGGGGAGTTCTTGGGAAATAGAGATCACAATATGGTATCTTTTGAAATAATCTTGAAACAGCAAAAGTACATGGGTTATACTAAAACATCATTTTAAAAAGGTCAATTTCAATAAAATAAAGACAGCATTACAACATATTGACTGGCATAAACTCTTTAGTGAAAAAAACCCACTGAGGATAAATGTAATATCTTCAAACAAATATTAGAAAGGTACATTTCTCAGTACGTGCCATTAGGTAATAAATATAAAATAAACTAATTAAAATATGTGTGACTTAGTGGGAAAGTAAACCAAGAGATTAGAAATAAAAAAGGGCATTTAAATTAGACAAATTAGAGGCATCCTATATAAGATATAAAAAAATGCATGCAAAAAGGCAATTAGAATGGCTAAACCTGAAAAAGAGAAATTGATAGCCAAAGTACATAACGTCTAAAAAAAAAAATAAACAAAAAAAAAAGTGTAGGTACTGTAGGCAGTGTTTATTAAAGAGGATCCTATTTTAAGAGAAATTAATATGATTGCTGAAAAAATACTTGCAGGAAAATTCTGATTAGATGACTCAAGATCAGGTGCCAAAGCAGCTATAGAAAGTAAATATGAACACAGTTCAAGGGCCTGACAGTATTCACCCATAAGTATTAAAGGAGCTAAGTGTGGAAATAAGTGAAGCTCTGTATTTAATGCTGCAAGATTCTTTTCTTTTATGAATTGTACCTGACAATTGGAGAAAAGCAGAATTCATTGGGAGCAGCAGTGTTATTAGTAATACTCAGCATGGTTTTATGAAACATTGGACATGTCAAACTAACCTAATTGCCTTCTATGAAGAAGTAGAAGTATAGATTAGTGTGTTGCAGTGGATGTCATCTACTTGCATTTTGCCAGTTCATTTGATACGGTTCCTCATAATAGGTTAGTTTTCAAACTAAAAGAAATTGGTCCTGACAAAAAATATTGTTCTGTATTTGGATTTAGCGAGTGTGTGCATACAGGCAGTAGTGTGTGTGTATAGGTGACGTAGTGTGTGTAGGGGTTGTAGAGAGGGTGTGTTTAGAGAATGTTGTATGTGTTTGCTTACAAGGAATGTAGTGTGTGTGTAGGTGGTGCAGTATGTGTGTAAGAGATCTAGTGTGTAAAGGACCCAGAGTGTGTGTAGAAGACTGTGTGTGTGTGTGTGTGTGTGTGGGTGTAGAGGATTCAGAGTGCATATAGGGTAAGGGATCTAGCGTGTATCTGGAGCGTAATGTGTGTAGTGGTGCAGTGTGAGAGGTGCTGTAGTGTGTGTGTGTGTGTGTGTGTGTGTGTGTATGTATGTATGTGTGTCTGTATATATATATATATATATATATATTTATTTGGACGTATTGTATGTGTGAGGTGCGCAGTGTGTTTGTGTAAGAGGGGTGCTGTGTGTGAGGGTGTTTTTATCTGCCGTCACATTCTAGGTTTTGTAATTTACTTTGTCTATTAACTCACTGAGGGTTATTTTATATAATATATATATGTGTGTGCTGTATATGTGTGGGAGTGGGGGTGCTGTGTGCGTCTGGGGGTGCTGGGTGCTGTGTGCATTTGCCCGGTATGCCCGATGGCCAGTCCGGGCCTGGTGGTGTCCCTCAGTGTTCTGAGACCGCTTCTGTTTAAAATATTTATAAATGATCTTGAAATAGGCATTGAAAGCCATGTTTCAGTGTTTGCAGATGACACAAAACTGTGTAAAAGAACACAATGTCAGTAGGATACTGCTTTGCTGCAGAGGGATTTAGATAAATTGGGGGACGGGAATGGGCATTCAGATGGCAGTTAAAATGTAATGTGGAAAAATACAAAGTTATGCACTTCGGGGGGAGGAATGCACAAGCAGCTTTAACTCTAAATGGTAGTGAATTAGGGATAACAACAAATGAGAAGGATTTGGTAATTATTATAGACAATAAACTAGGCAACAACATGCACTGTCAATCAGCAGTTGCCAAAGCCAGTAAGGTGTTGTCATATATAAATCGCATAATAATTCTCGGGATAAAAATATAATTTTGCCTCTTTATAAATCACTATAATATACTGTGCAATTTTGGACACTCATTCTTAAGAAGGATATTAGGTCACTAGAAAAAGTGCAGAGGCGAGCTACAAACTTGAGTAAAGGAATGGAGCATTTTAGTTATGAAGAGAGGTTGACAAATTTAAATCTCTTTAGTTTGCAAAAATGGTGCCTCAGAGGAGATATGATAGCATTATACAAACATATTTGGGGCCAATACCATTGTCCATAAAAAGGACTAAACATAGTACTAGAGGTCACATATTTAGACTAGAAGAAAGGAGATTTAGCCAAAGACAAAGGAAAGGGCTTTTTTACAGTGCGAACAATAAGAATTTGGAATTCTCTGCCTAAAGTGGTGGTTTTATTAGAGTCCATACAGATGTTTAAGCAGGAGTTGGATAAATACTTACAAAAATATACAGGGATATACATTTGTATTAATGGAGTTTCAATAGTTTCTTGATCCAGGATACATCTGTCATTTAGGGGTCAAGAATTAGTTTTTTCCTAGTTTGTTGCAAAATTGGAAGCGCTTCAGCCTGTTTCCCCCCACCCCCCCCTTCTTTTGGATCAACAGCAAAAACATATGTGAGAAAAGCTGAACTTGATGGATGCAGTCTTTTGCTTTGCATAGTTGGACAAATTGGTGTAATTTACTTGAGTGTTTTTCTTTGTTTCTTATTTTAGATTGCAGTCAATATGGAATATTTATAAATACAACATGACACAGAGGCAGTATATTATGAACTGGCAACTTTATAGCTATATATAAATTTTGTATTTAACAAAACATGCATTCATTTCCCAGCAAAACACCTATTGTATATACCATGACTTAAGAGCAAACACATAGGACAAAAATATTTGCATGCAAAATAACTCTTAATTAAAACAAACATATCATAATAATTAAATGTATATTTCAGATAAAGAATTCAATAAATATGATGTCTAGGTAAATATTTCCCTACTATACAGATTTAAATCCAATATATATAGCACACAAGTTTATTAACGTGTGTCCCAAATCCAAACAACATTTGTTTTAGAATATAGGTTTTCAATTTTGTTTGGGTCAGAAAGCTGGCTTCTTGAATTAATTGTCCTTTAAGAGACTAGTAGAGATAAGTTAGTTGAACCTAGAAATAAAGTGAGAACAACAGATACACTTCAGTATATTTTGACAATGCAACACATATTTTTACAGCATGAAGATATATTAATGAAACCTGTTAATATGTATATTCACATTGTCTCAAATATAATGTATGTCTCCTTCATTTAGAATGCTACAAAATGTGTTGCCACTTAATGCAGACATCATGGTTTTATTTAGGGGTGAGTTGTGACAAACTTTGTAGAGCAGAAAGTTTACCATTCTCTGGATCTAAAACTGTTAGGTGGACTGGGTATCCCTTGGTCCATTTTTGCTGGTCAATTTTTTCACATCCCTAGCCCACCTTATATTATTGCTCTCCAAAAATTGCCCTGGAAAAAAACCAGATCCTCCATGTGTCTCATTCTTCCTCCTTAGCCCCTCCATGTGTCTCATTTGTCCCCCGCCCCTCCATGTGTCTAATTTTCCCCACTCCCTCCATGTGTCTCATCACCTTCTCCATGTGTCTCTACCCAATCCACCCAGCCCCTCCATGTGTCTATTCCCATTCTCTCCATGTGTCTTATTCACCCATCCAGTTGCTCCATGTGTCTCATTCACTGCCCCAGTCCTTCCTTGGGTCCCTCTCATACCCAGGTTCTTATGTGTATCTCCCACTAACCATGTTACTCTCCCACCAGGACAGACAGCAAGAGCTAGGATATGATTTAACATCCTGGTACCCACTGCCTGCCTCAGTATTACTACAGTGGGTGGGGATCAGGGCCAGACAGGGGGGTGGGGGGGGGGTTGGAATACTGCCAGGGCATTTAAAGGAGAAACACAATAAGAAGCCAGAGTGAGAGTGTGTTGAATCATCACTCAGTGGCCAAGGCCAGTCTGGGTTTGGTGGGGATACTGGCAGTAACGCTGTCCTCTCTGCACTGCTATATTTGCCCCAAAATAAGGGATTTCAGTCAAACACCAATTCCATTATTATGTAGGGCCCATATCTGGTACTCCACTTGCCACATTCAAAAAGCAAGATTGGATGTGTGTATGAATGTGAAAAGCATACAAAAGTGCATCTACTGTTGCCTAAATATTTTGGACATTAAAATCAATATTGGACAATAGTGCTACATGTTAATGAAATAGGAATCGTTTAACTTAAAAATGCATGCCACATTATCAGTAAAACACATAATATGCGAGCAGGATATTGCTTTGTTGCAGAGGGATTTGGATAGATTGTTTGACTGGGCACTAAAATGGCAGATGAAATTTAACGTAGAGAAATGCAAAGTTATGCACAAGCAACTTACAGAATGCACAAGCAACTTACACCCTATATGATACTGAATTAGGGATAACCACACACGAGAAGGATAGGCAGCAATATGCAATGTCAATCTTCAGTTGCTAAGGCCAGTAAGGTTTTGTCATGTATAAATAGGGGCATAAATTCTCTGGATGAAAATATAATTTTGCCTCTTTATAAATCGCTGGTAAAACCACACCTTAAATATGCTGTGCAATTTTGGGCACCTTTTCTAAAGAAGGATATCATGGCACTAGAAAAAGTGCAGAGACGAGCTACAAAATTGATACAAGGAATCTAGCATTTTAGTTACGAAGAAAGGTTAAAACATTTAAATCTCTTTAGTTTGGAAAAACTGCGCCTCAGAGGGGATATGATAACATTATAAAAATATATTCGGGGCCAGTACAAACCATTATCTGGAAATCTATTCATAAACAGGGCTATACATAGGACACAAGGTCACACATATAGGCTGGAAGAAAGGAGATTCCATCTAAGGCAAAGAGAACTTTTTTTTTACAGTAAAGCAATAAGGATATGGAATTCTCTGCCTGAAGAGCTGGTTTGATCAGAGTCTGTACAGATGTTTAAACTGCAATTGGATAACTACTTGCAAAATCATAACATACAGGAATATAATTTCTAATTAGTGGGGTAATAGCTGCTTGATCCAAGGAGACATCTGACTGCTATTTTGGGGTCAAGAAGAATTTTTTTCCTATTTGTTGCAAAATTGAAAGCGCTTCAGACTAGGTTTTTTGCCTTCTTTTGGATCAACAGCAAAAACATATGTAAGGCTGAACTTGATGGACATAAGTCTCTTTTCAGTTATGTAACTATGTAACATTAGCATTAATATTGCTATATTTTTATGAAATTCTTAACCAAGATAATATTAACAGCAATTTAAACATAATGAAAAAAAAGGATCAAACTCACCAGCCTCTGTTTCAATAATGTACATTCTGCAAAGAATATTTCAACAAAATTAAAAAAAAAAACATACAAAATACATACATCAATAATCAATTTTATGATCTTAATTGTGTGTTGCTGACTGATAGTATCTAGTTTATGCATGATCATACACATTCTATAATGATATAATATATGCTAAATGTTAAACACATATATATTGTGGAATTAAATCTATATACACACAAATATAAATTATACTTTCTAAAAGGTAATAAAATTTTAGGAGCCTTGCCACTTCACTTTGTGCAAAAATGCAAGTTACAAAAATTTAACATATGCAGCCTAGGAAATATGTTGTTAATATAAAACATGCATATGTGACATAATGTTAGATAAACAGGTGTTCATTACTATCATTACTGAGGAATCGCTGGTTAAATTGTATTTTAAAAATCAACCAAAGAAAATATTTGATCTTTACTGGGACGGACTAGTTATAAACCACTTCAATGATCTTAGATATCTTTTGAAGGATGGCAAATATATATATTTGTGTTAGGTGCTTATGATAGTACAGTGTGAAATACCATAAATAAAAAGAGCAAGTCGGTTGTGGTGTGCCCGAACCGACGATGAGGTAGGCCTGAGAAAGAAGAGGGCCTACCCAGGGAAAGAAATTAGAAAATAAATGTTAAAATGTGGTGTGGTGGGAGGGTCATTCAACGCTGACCTCGAACGGTAAGGAGCCAGGTAAGGGTAAGCCTAAAGTAGGCTAGGGGTAGCAAAACAGCACCTCCCACAAATCCAGGCAAATTGTCTTAATACTTGTGTTAGGTGCTTATGATAGTACAGTGTGAAATACCATAAATAAATGTAGGATAGTAAAAAGAGCAAGTCGGTTGTGGTGTGCCAGAACCGACGATGAGGTAGGCCTGAGAAAGAAGAGGGCAAAAATTAAGTAATCAAATTTATTACAGACAACCAATACATATACATTTTATCAACCAGACATGTTTTTGAAAGCATCCCTTAATTCTTGTACTGGGTTCGGTATGTACCGTGAGTAAGCGGATGACTTCCAGCGCCCAAGTGTTTTGATAACATGAGTTGGGATGTTGACACTGGAGGCTGTGGACACGGCTCCTATACGAAAGGAGTGCCCTGTGTATTTGGCTGCGTTGAGGCCCAGTTGTGTGAGCAAGGACCTGACGTAGGTCATGAAGGTTGTAGTGGTGAGTACTGCACCTTGTAGCTGTAGTAATGGTTGTGAGGGCAGTAAGTTATGATTCTGTATGTAGGCATCAAGAACCCTGACGGGACACCATCTGTTGTGCGTGGGATAGTACGGTATGTTTACGGGTATGTGCTGACTGGTTTTGGAGTGAGGTAAGGTCAGGATGTAATGATCCATATGTTTTGTCAAGTGGGAATAGAGGAGGAACGGAGTAGTTTGATTCGTGGAGGTAGTAGTGAATTCTCTAGGTCTTAGAAATCCATAGAAAGCGATGTATATTGCTGTTTTGATGACAGAATTTGTATTGGTATCAAACGGTTTTAAGTCAAGCAGGTTAGACAATGCTTTGAAGATATGGTTATCTATGGGTAGCCTCTGGGTTGTATGTGTGGGTTCTGATTTCTGAATACCTCTGAGTATGGTCTTAATTTGGTGAGAGGCCATGAAACTGTTGTTATTTGGGTGTAAGATTATCATGTGGTGTTGAATGCCAGTGAGACAGAGTTTGATGGTGTTATATGACATTTTAAGTTTAAGGTGGCAAAAGGAAGCAAACCCCAAAAAGGATGTCATAACAAATGGTTGCATGATGTTATGTTCCAAAAGGAATCGTTTGAATAGTGTGAAAGCCCTGTTGTATGTTTTGTGTGTATTGTTTGAAAGTGCTAGTTGGGACAATGTACTGCTATGGTGTCTAGTCCAGTATGAGTTGTTGAAATGTTGGAGTGATGGTGGCTATGGGCGCAGCTGATGGGAGTGCTTGATGAAACTCCTGAAATTTAAAGCGAGACAAATTGTCAGCAGCTGTGTTACATACACCTGGAACATGGAAAGAACATAGGAAAAAATTATGACAAGCTGCCAACCAAGTGAGTTTCCTCAGAAATCTCATGATCGTAAGGGATTTGGAACGACCTTTGTTGATGATGTGACAGGTTGCCTGGTTGTCTGAGTAACAACGCACTGGCATATTAGCCCATAAATGACCCCATGCTACGGCAGCCGCCACGATGGGATAGATCTCAAAAAGGTAGTGGAAAAACCTTCCAAATCCTGAACTGCTGAAGGCCAGCTGCCCCAAAACCATTTGTTCCCAAAAATTGCTGCAAAACCAGTGGTAGATGCCGCATCTGACCAAATGGTAGGAGATGATTCAGTCAATTGAGGAAGGAACATACTTTTACCATTCCAAGTGGTTAAAAATCTCTTCCACATGTTTAGATCTGCCGTAGCTTGGGTATCTAAGGACAACCTGTGCGTGTCATGTAGGAAAAGTGGGAAAAGATGCAATAGCCGTGATACAAAGGAGTGGCCTTGAGGTATGATACGCATAGCAAAATTTAGTGACCCTAGCAGGGACTGTAGCTCTTTGCGGTTGCAAGTACCGAGCTGAAGGTAGCTGTTTATGTATTCTCTATCTTATCGTATGGTAGGCTTGCTTGCATTGTGGCGGAGTCTGATTGGATAACCAGAAAAGTGATAACCATGTCTGGCCCCTCTGTTTTCTTTGGGGAGATAGGTACACCTAGTTGATAAGAAAGTCTACTAGGTGTCTAGATGGGTGCTGAGACATAAATGCCGTGAATACTGGCATATTAATGGACGTTAGGTAAGGCTTGGAATACATTTTATTTGGACACATGGTCTTTGCATGTGCCCTAAAACATTTTGAACAGACATGCAATAGTCTACATCCACTGTAATTACAAGACCCAACATTGAAATTATTACATATCTGGGACTTGCCCAGAAACTTGATTGACAACTTCCCTGGATCCCCAGAGGAACTAGCTCCTTGCGTGGAGGCATGTCCGTCTGCCGTGTTGGGACAAAAATTTGTAGTATGGGCTGTGGAGGAGCAGTATGCACAAGCCGGTGTTCTTAGACCTGCAAAGTGTCTGCAAAAAATGATAGTATCAATCCTCCCCAGTTGGATCGTGTTCCGTACTGGGAGAAGGCTCCACTTTTGCAGAAAAAGACCTATGGTAGTCATAGAAGGCTGAACCACCATATTTGTTGCCCAGGTCTACCAGCTTGTGCATATTGAGATCAAACTCCTCTCTTCTGTTGGGATAGACCGCACAGATGAAATCCCTATAAATACCAAAAGCTAGTACAAATTCAGGGATAGTCAGTTTCCTGTTCAGGCAATAGTCTACATCCACTGTAATTACAAGACCCAACATTGAAATTATTACATATCTGGGACTTGCCCAGAAACTTGATTGACAACTTCCCTGGATCCCCAGAGGAACTAGCTCCTTGCGTGGAGGCATGTCCGTCTGCCGTGTTGGGACAAAAATTTGTAGTATGGGCTGTGGAGGAGCAGTATGCACAAGCCGGTGTTCTTAGACCTGCAAAGTGTCTGCAAAAAATGACGGTATCAATCTTCCCCAGTTGGATCGTGTTCCGTACTGGGAGAAGGCTCCACTTTTGCAGAAAAAGACCTATGGTAGTCATAGAAGGCTGAACCACCATATTTGTTGCCCAGGTCTACCAGCTTGTGCATATTGAGATCAAACTCCTCTCTTCTGTTGGGATAGACCGCACAGATGAAATCCCTATAAATACCAAAAACTAGTACAAATTCAGGGATAGTCAGTTTCCTGTTCAGGCGGGCATCCCTAGATCTGACAACAACAGATACATCATCATAAGCATACGTCTTATTCTCAACAATATCCTGGGAGGCAATCAACAGGGAAGCCAGGTTGACGTCTTTACCTTCCAGGATATCCCTTTTCATGTGCTCAGGTATCATATGAGCCGGGCTAACTTCCTGGTCATCCAGGGGGATGGCTGGAGCAACTAATGGCAAGTCGGCTGGTGCTTGTGAAGCACCAGCAGGTGGCCCTGCTAGAGTAAGGGCCGTGGTGACCGACTCACGTTTCTCCAGCCTGGAGTTGACCTTGCTCATGGACGCCATGGCATGTATGTCTCCTGGGTTGGACTGGCTAGGTCCTTCCCCGGCATCCATGTTATTTGTCAATGTTTGTAGCAGTTTGAAAAGTTCTGATTTCCTTGCTGTAGCGGGGTAGCGTATTTGTCGTCTCCTCAATTCCGTGGTTATACGCGGGATCGTCCAAGATCTGATCGATGCTGGACTAGCTAGCTCTCCTCCTTGTGTGGAAGTGACAGCTCTAGCCGGGGTGCTAGGCAGGGAGAAATCCTCTACCCCTTCCTGAGACATACTATAAATAAAACAATTAGTGTATGAAACCACCAAATTGTACTGGCAGGTTAGCTAGGCCGGATGGTGAAACATTATACTTGTTTGGTGACAGATGAGGCCCTGCTAATTGCCAAGCGGCTTGAGAGGCTCTATCTATGCATTGGCGCGAGGGGTTATTGAGGCCACTCGATGTAGTGGCAGGAGTTTTAGGCCTCTCGGTGACTGTAAGACAGAAAACAGGGGAAGGGAGTGACAGGTGAGGCCCTCTCTATGCAACATGCGAGGCGGCTAGCTAACGTGTGGCCCGATGAAACGTTTGAGGCGGGGTGTTGGCCTTGTGGGACCACTAACTGATGGCAACTGCCAAGATGGGATAAATACCTATTGGGAAGCCTGTGACCCTATTGCCAGTACTCTAACCTAGGGGGACGAAATGAAATGTATGGTAGAATACCATATGAGCAGGTGTACGTACCTGGTAGTATGACAAATTCACAGGAATAAACCGTGTGGAGCAAAATATATATAAGCTTGACAGCCTGAAATGGGTAAAAGAGAGTAATATGATGAGTGTGGATTGTTGGAAAGAAAACAGACTTATAGCCTGTAGCAGCAATGATTTTTGAAAATGTTGATACCATGGGAATAGATATGAGTTAATCAGGAATGTCATGCTTAAATAAGACATCTGAGGGAGGCCGTGGCCTATGTACAAACAACATATGTGTTATATGATAATGGTGTGTAAGGGAAACATAAAATTTAGGATTATGTATATTACTGTGCAGGAAATGTGATTCAACCCGAGTATGCATGAAAAGGAATTAAGCCTTATGTGTCATGGTCATAACAAAGAAATGAGGCCTGTAACATAGGCTGAGTTAATTGAAATGAAATAGATAATTATGAACACTCTTGTAAGCATGGGAGTTCAATAATCCATACAGAAATGTAGCTGGTTTAATAGAAAAGAACATGGATGAGGGTCATGGCCTATTTTACACAGCGTTATGTATGATATGTAGTAGAATAACAAAAGAGGCAGGGATACACAAAATGCTTAAAGTGATGCAAAGTGATGTGTGTGTATATATATATATATATATATATATATATCTGTATTGAAAAAGACGTATGATTGGTTGGATCAGTACGTGATTCAACCCGAGAATATATTGCTTGTAAATTAAACTGTATCCTTTGTATGTGTCGTAGTAATAACACAGAAATGAGGCCTGTAATGTAGGCTGAGTCCATTTGGACAAATGGATAAGTAATGCAGACCCCTGAAAACGTGGGAGTCAAAATGATCTATACAGATAAGTGAGCTTGGTTGTATGGACATAATACAATACTGAAACATTTAAAGGGTAATAGAAATAATCTGTCTATTTAAACAAGCAATTTGTTAACCGAATGTATATACATGAAATGGTGAATATAATCCACGAAAGGATTAGGTGTAATACATAGAAATACAAATGAACCCAATGTGAGGGAAAACAGAAGTTGGAACGAATAGTTTAAACGTATGAACTTATGCGAACCGCAAGCTTGTTTGAAACGTGTATTAAAAATTGCCGAACGGCAAAACAACCGAATTGATAATCCATTTCAATGTAACGTGGAATAGTTATAAGCGAAATGACTATTTGTACGAATATATACTGTTCAGCCGAATGACCGTATGAATGAAAAACCCGCGAACGGCTTGTACCATTCGTGACATAACAGGGAAAACCGTAAAGCGAGGACCCGTGCTGTACCATACGCCATGGGAACCGGTCCTGGCGTGACAGGTAGGTCTGACTTACGGTTTAGGAGTCCCTGGGACGCGATCTACGATGAAGACCGGGGTCAGAAGAAGCTGGACGGGCGGAAAAGGCCTTAACAGGATTCCTGGACACCGCTATCGCGGTAAAACCTCGTGGATACTGAAACCAAGAGTCAGTGTCAATGTTTCAGTCCAACCAGGAGCTGTGAGTGCAGGACACGTGGTATATATATATATTCTATCTAAGTCCTGTCACTCTGAGGCACACTCCCCATTTATTTTGATTAGCCAATTCGCCATGGGTAGGCTGGATTTGGGTGATGACGCAATGTAATTAGTGACCATGCCCCTTGATGACGTCGATACACCTGATTGGCCCCCCACATGGCTTATATGGTTAGAAGTGATATCAGACTCATTGTATCTTTTTTCCCTGACGAAGGTGCACGTGGTCTAGCACCTTAACATACATCAGGCATTTTCTGTTTTTAATGGGCACCTCACTTTTATGTGACACATCTGGTCTTATTATTGATTTGTGAAATATGATTTAATTTTATTTTGTCATTGCTATCTATTCTCCTTCACCTGTCTAGTGAGTTTTACAGGGAATGAGGCTTATTTTACTATCCTCTGTCTATTTAACAATCTATTATCAACATTAAATTGACAATTTATGTGTTTATATGGGCTTAAGAGGGGTGTTGTTCAAAGCTTACCCTTTTTTAGCTATTCCCTGGATACAGCTCGTGGGATGAGATTGAATGTATATATCTTTACAAACAAGGCTACTAACTTTAGATTAATGTGGGATTTATCACTGAGAGCATATTGTCCAGGAGATTAAAGGCTGTTTTTGCTTACGGTGTTCCACCTACTTGTTTGTTCCTTGCTTGAATTGATTGTATTGTAAGTCTAATACCTTGATGGAGAACCCTCACAGGACTCAATATATTTCAGCAAAGTGCTTTTCAAAAAGTGTTTTTATAGTGGAAATATCTGTTACTTTGATGCTTGATCTTCATCACAGAGATCTACGTAGTTATCATTATACTGCTAACAATTTCCAGGTAGCATCTTTTCACTTTTTGTGATTAGGTGCTTTTTCTTAGTTTTTTTTGTTACCAATTGGGGTTATACCCTAGGACACCCCTAAAGTGTCCCACTGGTGTGTAGACTCAGTGGGAAGGTAATATTACTTTTCTCACTGATTCTTTTTTTCTGATAATTAAACACCCATTTAAAAACACCACATCTATAAAATCAAAGAGCACTATTTATGTTTTTAATTATTGTTACTCACATTTTAATCATCTCCATCAACACTGTATCCTTTAACTGCATAGGTTTCACCTTCATACTGTAGACCGGCAATCTGACTTGTGTTCGCTGTTGATTTGCCTAGACACCTGAGTGGTGGAGATGTGCATGTTAATGCATAGAAATAGTGTTTTTTTGCATTCAAGAAATCAGTAAGAAGTACTTACATGCTTATATTATATGTATTTATAGCAACAACAAAAAACACATTTAAAATCAAATTTACATCTTGCTTAATCTCATGAACAGTTACCTAAGTGGCACTTTTTATGTTCTAGATGATTAATGCTCTTCATTGGGTCTTTATCCAGCAGTGTTACCCTTTGTCCAGTTTTCCTGTTTTGTATACTACTGTCAATTGCTTATGTTTATTACTTTATGTGACGAGAGCAATCTCGCCACATTACATTGGAGAAGCCTGGCTGCCCGCCTGCTGCCTTTTGACTATGGACCAGACTATGTAAATGTGTTAACCCAGATAGCTATGCCATGGAGCCCATTCGTGTAGTTAAAGACTTTGGCTCCATGGCAATTGATCTGAGTGCTATTCGGTAGTTTTGTGCGCTCAGATCCCAGCTATCTGGGGATATGTGAAATGTCTGTTTGTTATGTGTAAAAGGTGACTTTATGTATTTTAAAGTGTTTTATGTATTTTTGCAACCATGTGCACAATGGAGTCTGCCTCTATCCCTGGATAATTGGATTACTTCCCCCATTGTCTCCAGGATAGAGGGCTCTGTAAAACCTGTTTGAGCCAAATAGCCATGTGCCAGCCAGGGCCCAAAAGATACTTTTACTAACTTTTGAACCCCTGGTCTGATTCATGCCATTTTTTTAATATGTTGTTCACCGGAATGGATTGATTGTGAATATGTAATTTTATGTGAATGTGATGTATTGTTTTAGAGTTATGAAAGTTGGGTAGAAAGTATGTTTTAACTGTATGTGTAATTGAGTTTCCTCTCAGGATAAGGGGAGGGAATATGTGGGATGTAACTGATATGTGATTGGTTGTTTTATACCTCCCTGTGGGCGGTCCTGTATTTGAAAAGACTGTAATAAAAACCAGGTTGGGTGTGCCAGCATCTCAGACCCCTGCTTGACCCTCAACACGGAGCCTTGTCTCGTTCTTGGGGGGATTCACTGTATGCTGTTAGAGACTGATTGCCAGGAGTGTAAGCTGATTAAAGCTGTCTGCTTTTCCTGTTCGTCTGCTAGCAGCTATTTGGGAGGTTCCAGTTCGGGAGTTGGAGTGCTATTTTGTATCCAGTTCGGGAGTTTGGTGTTCTGCAGTAGCTGTGCCTGCATCCCTGGAAGGGGAAGATCTACTAAACGGCGGTTTAACCCTTTTATGTCTGGGGGTGCCGTTACACTTTATTTCGCCTTCTTATTCCTCCCAAATGTATCTACTTAGAATGGACAGTCCACATTATGAGTCCATTCTAAATAGATACATTTCATAGGAATAAGGAGGTGAATATCTCAGTTTGAGTCCAATTGCTTTCTTTCCTGGGAGATCTAAACTGATTTACTGAAATTAAACAATCTGTCATTAAATTACAATTAATGGGTTTATAACTTCAGTTGTTCTAGATTATGTTCTCATTAGCATAAATTGCCATCAATCATAATTATTGATTTAGTCTTTAAATATACAAGAGCTATAAAATTCAATGGATGCAAGAAGTATTGATCTCACACATTTATTGAGTACTGCAGTGTGTGTGAGAAGGTGACAGTTTGTGTGCTAGGGTGATATCTTCCCTTCCATCCGTGTCTCTGTTCCCCTGCCTTCCATGTCCCTCTACACCTTCCCTCCATTTATCTCCCGCCTCCCCTCCATCCACATGTCTCCCCTCCATGTCTCCCTCCTCCCCTCCATGTACCCACCCTCCTCCCCTCACATCCCCCTACCCCTTCCATCTATGTGTCTAACAAGGACTGTCAGTTTATCTCTCTGCTTTGCTGCCACATCAGTTTGCCATGCTGAAACTGCCTCAACGTAAAAAGTGAGTGGTTCTTATTTTTTTGTTTGGCATTTGTTAAAGAAAAAAGCATGACTCTTCTTCAATGTCCACTTACTCATTCCATCCATGTGTCTCTCCTTCCACAAGTGGCAGGCTGTGTCACTCACAACACCAGCTCTGACACGAAATGATATGGCCCCGTCCCTGCTATTTTACCTCTCCAGGCAGGGGAGGGGGGCCTCTCGCTGTCCGGTGGCTCTCTGTGCCACCTTCACACTGAGCACTGGGTAGTCACGTGACACCCGGCGCTCCTATGCAGAGCTGACTTAGTCTTAGTCATAGTCTGCATGCAGTTCCCTTATAGAGCCACATGCTGCCTGCAGGCTGAGGTGAATGCAAAAATCACTTGTCAGTCTAACAATTAATTTTTGTTCTACCAGCAGGGAAGGGTTTCACCGACGGTTTGGTGAACTTGTTAAATGTTAGCAGCAGGGAGGGTGTGGCTGGAAGCCAAGGTGAACGGACGCATGGAGTGAGAGCTCCTGGTTTGAAACAGCCTAAAGCCAGAATATACAGCAGAAAAACTCCCTAGACAAACTGTAATTAACTCCCTGCAAACCCCTTCCATCAATAATGGCTCAGGCGAAGCAAACAAAAATGACGGACCCAATCCGCTCCTCTAAAAAAAATAAAAACGGGGTTGTCGCAAGATGGCGGCAGGGGGCCGGAGGGTCCGCAGACCTCAGACTCACAACGAGACCATGAGGAAGCTCAATACACAGATGCTCCGGTCACAGAGAAAAAGCTATATGCAATGTTACAAGACTTCAGAATCACTTTGCAATCTGATTTAAAGCAAGCAACCAGTGATTTCAAGAAAGAAATTAAAGATCTCGGAAAGAGAACAAATAACCTATAGGCCCGCACAGATGATATGTGCGCGGCACATGACACCCTGGTGGACACTATGCAGTCCCTGGTGGAGGAACATCAATTCCTGAAAAGGAAACTCGCAGATCTGGAAGACCGCTCGAGGCAGAACAATGTCCGCTTTCGCGGAATCCCAGAAAGCGTGACCAGAGACCAGCTATCAAATTACCTGATTTCACTATGTAAAACCCTGGTGGCCGATCTACCTGAGGCGGAATGGCTAATGGATCGGGCCCACCGGCTGCCGAAGCTGCAAAGACTCAGCGCGGTGACACCGCGTGATGTGGTAGCGCGCTTCCATTTTTACAGAACAAAAGAAACACTGCTGGTAGCGGCGAGGAACCGTCCCAATCTACAGGAACCCTGTTCGGGCATCCAACTGTATGCGGACCTGTCGGCACTTACTATGGGCAGAAGGAGGAACTTTATCACCATCACAAAAACCCTCAGGAACAACGAAATACAATACCGCTGGGGCTACCCGACTAAACTACTTGAGGAATGGTAGAAACCACATCGCTAACGAACCGGAGGTGGGAATGAGGCTACTGAAAGAATGGGGACTATTCCCTCTGAGAACACCAACTTACCCTTCAACCGAATCCCCGAAGCGCATGCACACCGAGTGGCAGCTGGCGGGCTCGCCTAGCAAGGCCTGAGGAACTCGGAAGACCCCGCGCTCGGACTAAACCCTCGGCCTGAAAGTCTTCAACTTTCCCACCCTGTATATAACTGAACTGTTACCAAAAAATGGCGGTGTCTCTGCTCAGTCCACTAGGTCGTGAGTATGAGAATCACGCAATGCGCACCATGTCTAAATGTCTTTACCCCTGCATATGTGGACAATGGTGGGGTACCCTGCACATATTCCACAGCATCAATGAAATGTGTATAGGATATAGAATCTAATGTTATGCATGAAATGTCACACGTGGTACACACAGCTACTAAACGCAGCACAATGGGGAGGGAGATCTAGCTGGCCACACAAAGGGTGCCGAGGCGAGGCCGGTAGTAATTAAACACGACAACATAAATATTGTTTCTGAAAGGCTAGAATTGTAATCAACATGACACTCAAGACTACAGGCCATAACCTCACCTGTAGTATAGTACGGAGAAAGGAAAATAGATTAAAGAAAAAACACATAAAACACGTAGATATTGAGGAGGGACGTCAAAAGCTCACTAAAAAGGCTGTAATCACCCGGCTGGTAAAAACCAGGCACGACCCAGGCTGAGAAGGTTGCGGGAATGAGCTTCCCACTCACATCTCATCCAAGTAGAGCACTTCATGCTGTTTGGGTGCTTTGTACATACTTTAGTTATCCCCTCTCGAACCCCTACCCCTGGTTTTCCATTGGTTTTCCCAGTTTTCCCCTCCCTGGATCAGACCACCCAATTTCGCAGCACCACTTCAGTCCCGAACCTAGGTTGCTCCACAATGCATTCTATGGAATAGCTTGCCTACTGCCATCAGACTCTCCCCTAGTCTTCAGTCATTTAAGAAGGGCCTTAAAACCCATCTCTTCAGGAAAGCTTATGGCCTCCCAGAGTAATCTCTACCTTACATACCTGTCTCCTGCTCTCTCCTATCGGACAGTGCTTTGCTCTCTCCTCCAGCTCTGCTTCACTCCTACTTGATATTTCATGTCCTAATGTTTCTAATACCCTACCTCCTATAGTCTGTAAGCTCGTTTGAGCAGGGTTCTCTTCAACCTATTGTTCCTGTAAGTTTTCTGTAAAGTGCTACGGAATCTGTTGGCGCTATATAAATGGCAATAATAATAATATGGAGCAATGACTGACACATTAACCATACTCACACTGAATGTTAAAGGCCTGAACAGCCCCCAGAAGAGGAGCCCAGGAAATGGCTAAATCCAAGGCAGCAATGGTATGTCTGCAGGAGACTCACCTGAGTGTTAGGAACCCCCCGAAATTCACTATTAAACACTACCCCCAAGGTTACCACGCTCTGTCCAAAACTAAAACCAAAGGGGTTTCCATCTACTTCCACAATGATTGGGTATTCACACCATCCAAACAATACGCTAGAAAGGATGGTAGACTTCTGACACTGGTGGGCACACTAAAAGGGCTATCGGTAACACTAGCATCGTTGTACGCTCCCAATGATGCTTGTGACAGACCCATCTGTATGAACTAGAATTGCTGTGTTCGTCTGTTTTGCTGTTTGCATGAATTTCCCCATTCGTATGCCTTGTTTAAGGGAATGTATTTTTTTTGTCGAACGGAACTACCGAACGGACGGCCACCCAGAAGAGAAGTGTGCTGCTGGTTAACCTATTGATCCCAATTAGAACGTTGTGGTGAACCACAGACACTTCTCAATTAAAACCGAATACAGGGTGGTCGTCGTTCGTATGTCGACCACGAGGCGGCGGCCATTTTAACTATGCGAAAGCCCAGCGGTGTTCGGCGGTTATTCCATGGAACTAAAAACGGACACTTTTTCAACCGAACACCGCTGAAGCCGTCGACCCCCCCTACTCAATCGACAAAAGTATACGAATACCGGCCGTTCGAGATATTTAAAGGCATGAATGGACTTACCCCAGATAGCCTTCCCATGGAGTCAATCGCATACCGAAGAACTGTAATAGACTTTGACTCCATGGCGATTGAACTATGCGTATGGGATCTGAGCGCTATTCGCCAATAATATGCACTCAGATCCAGGCTATCTGGGGATGTGTTATACGAATGCAATACGTTCGACAGTTATAAAGTTATGTATTTTAATGTGTTTTGTAACTTGTATTTAAAATGGCGATTTGCTCCTGCTCTGGGAGATAATTGAATTACTTCTCAATTATCTCCCGAGCAGAGGGGAGGAAACTGTGTTGCATGCTGGGAATATTGTGGGGATGTATGTCTGAAATGTCCCCATGTCCTTCTGTTGTTCCAGTCTCCCATTTGGTCCCCTAGGGGAGTGTCCACCAAGTGGGAGACCTGCATAAATACGGGCAGGTAGCCCACAGTAGGGGGATTTTATTACCGGCGACTAGAGACTGCTTATTGGGATTATTTGGAAACTATTGCCGTTCGGCTGCGATTGACGATTCGTGCATTTGGAGCTTGTGAAGGGAAGGAGCCGTACAGGTACCGTTCGGGAGTTTGGAGTGTTCCCTGACTGGCGGTTCGCATGGTTATACTGCATCTGCTACCAGACCACATTATTGCGAACGGGGAACATTCACTAAACGGCGGTTTGTGCATTTATTAATGGAGGTACCGGAACAATGCTCAAAACTCATTCCTCACCATGGCCTTTCGGAAAATTGAAAAATATAAGGCAGGACATACAATTATATGCGGGGACTTTAATTGTGCCCCAGACCCCCCCATTGATATCAAGAGAGAACTGGATAAACCACCGAAGGCTCTCTCACTCTCACTAGGATCCCATCTCAGGAAGCTTATGCACGAACTCAATCTCTACGATGTATGGCAGAGCCTCTACCCTAATGGGAGAGACTTCACATATTATTCAGCAGCACACATGACTTATAGCTGAATTGATCTATGTCTGACCGACGTCAAAACCTTACCCTTCGCAACCCAGGTACAGATCGGGCCAATAATGTGGTCCGATCATGCGCCTCAAAAAGTGGCCCTCAGAATTCCATACCCAGCTAGGGGACGGGGCACCTGGCGTCTCAATGACAGCCTATTAGATGATCCCAAGCCACTCAGAGATAAAGACCCACGTGGAATAATACTTCTCTAATCACACTAATTGTCAAACCTCGACTCCCACTTAGTGGTTGGCCCATAAAGTAGTCATGAGGGGTTTGCTCATCCAATTAGGGGCTAGGGTAAAGAGATCACGTCAATCTGAGATGGGCAAACTGGCACAGGAACTGGCCAAGGTGGAAAACAATCATAAAAAGAAACCCACAATAACCACACACAAACAAATGATGTCTCTCCGAACGGCCTTACACAACCTACAATTAATAACAGAAATACACCTCAGATCTCTAAAACAAGTTTATGTGACCGGCAACAAGGCGGGAAAACTCCTAGCTAGGAAAGCAAAACAGACTAAAGTAGAAAAGCTACAATTTCTGGGGAAATTGTGTGAAGTGTTCCTGCCTCCACCAGTAGTCTAGCACATTCAATTGCAATGTTGTTGCACAGTTACATTAAACCATACATTTATAAAAACATTAGCAGGTGTTCAAAAGGCCCTGTCTATGACATCACTTGCTGCTGCAGCTTGACACAGGTCAGAGTATTTTGGCGGTTGCCATCTTCAAACGGTCGTATCTTAAAAACTATAAATCCTACAGCGAAGAGCTTTATATTGTGAGAATCACAAGACCCAGACCTACATTTTGATGCATAGTATGTCTCTGAAGTATTACAAATGAAGGCACAGTCGCAGTTTAGAAATTGCACTTCAAATTTGAGCTTTGCAGAATGAAGTTTCAATGAATGTCAATGGACGGCGTTGGTTGCAAACAAATGGTCATATTGTGAAAACTATCAGGACTACGGCTTAGCCGTTTACATGTTTAGTGGCAGCAGGGATAGCTGAACGTTTTGATATAAGATTTGTGTAGGTGGGCTTGAAAATGAGGGAGTGGTGGCAGTTTAGAAATCATGTCCTGATTTTTCAGCTTTTGGCAGCTCCCACTCTAGCTTTGCCATTCATTCCTATGGGACAAATTGCGCCACAAAAACGACGATATTCCGTGAACCATTCGGCGAAACGTTCCACAAAGTAATAACAATCCGATCGGGAACAATCTGCACGTTTTGGTAAATTTTGGTCTATGTAGTGTAAAAACTGTGGGAGGAGTTAGGATGGCAAATTTGGCTATAATAAGAATAATAATATATATATGAGATAACAATAAGTGTTCTTGCAAGAACACTTAATTACAATCAAAAATCCCCTACATAACCTCTAAGAGTGGGGACAAGCTATACAATCCCCAAGACATAGTGAACGAATTGGCGAATTATTACGCATCATTATACCAATTAGAGACAGACCCCAACACCCACCAACCAAATGAGGAGGAAATAAGCTCCTTCCTAGAGAAGACGCCTCTACCATGCCTGACACAGGCAGAGTGCGCCTTCCTCGAGAGTCCCTTCACAGAAGAGGAAGTCGCAGCAGCCATAACATCTCTACCCAAACAAAAGGCCCCAGGCCCAGACGGGCTCTCCAACTGCTACTATGTTAAATTAGCAAACCAATTAATGGCACCCCTCACTAAACTATTTAATTACATCAAAGACTGCTGATCCATGCCCAAAGAATTGCTGGAGGCGCATCTAGTGACATTGCCAAAACCTAACAAACCCCCCTACCCAATGCGCAAACCTACGCCCAATCTCCTTATTAAATGTACACACCAAACTCTATGCTAAACTCATAGCGTCCAGACTTAAGCCCATCATCCCAGACCTCGCTTCAGAAGAACAGGTAGGTAGGAAATAACACCAGGCACTTTCTAAATTTGACATAACGGGCCAACAAATCACATCAAGCTGGTCTACTACTTGCATTAGACGCCGAAAATGCCTTTGATCGGCTACACTGTAGCTATATGGTTCTCACTCTAACGCAGATGGGGTTCCTGTCTGCTTTTAGATCAAGCATAATGGCACTATACCAATACCCATCCGCTAAAGTCTTTAGCACTGGGTTCATCTCCTGCCAATTCGACATTCGCAATGGTACCCGGCAGGGATGCCCTCTTCCCCCCTCAATCTTCATTCTATGCTTAGAACCCTTAATCAGAAGCATTAAACAGGATGCATCCATACAAGGTCTAACCACACCGGGAGGAACTAAAAAACTAGCTATTTTCACAGATGACATCCTACTGATCATCACAAACCCTGGGTCCTCCATGCCCCCCTTCCTTGAAACGTTGACGAGGTATGGGAAAATCTCATATTATAAGAACAACCTAGCTAAAACCCAGGCACTGCCTATAAACCTGCCACGTACCACTCTGGATGCATTAAAAAGCGGCCACGCATTTGACTGGCACACGTCCTCCCTCCAATACTTAGGAGTGAAACTAGTTAAATACTTTCAAAACATAATAAAAGAAAACCACTACCCAATCCTCAGCAAAATTAAAAATACACTCAGGAATTGGGAGAATCTGGAGGTATCATGGCTAGGCCGAATTAACCTCATAAAGATGATGGCTTTGCCACATAAACTATACCTCTTCAGAACCCTACCCATAGCTCTCCCGAACTCATTGCTTAAACAATTTCAAAGCGCTATCAACGCTCACCTCTGGGAAAAAAAAGCCGCCCAGGGTAGCTAAGGGTTGCATGGGGCTCACCTACACAAAAGGGGGACTGGGTCTACTGGACATAAAAGCTTATTATAGGGCATCCCTTCTGGCACAAGGGATAAGACTTTTACGCATCAACAAACCCTCCCATTGTCCATTCTGGCTCCCACTTGAAAGCACATGCTTAGGTACATGTGGCAAACCTAGCCACTTGAACTATAACTAGAGACTGTGCCTTTAAGGGTTGCCTACGAGTCTGGGGAGATATGCGCTTTATTCTTATGTATGTGCTTGATGTATTTTCTGCAGAGACTGTAATTACCTGTTTAGCCGAATGCCAATGGCGGTTTGTATGGGGATTCCCGTTCGTTTCACGAACGGCACTTTGGAGGGCCGTTCATGAAGCGAACGCAATACCCCCTAATAGCCCACACACTTAGAGGCGTGTGGCGCTAGTTAACCGATTGCAACATTGTTGCAATCGGTAATTCGAGGCTCTCCTGGGTGGCCGTTGTTCGACTACCGACCATGCGGCGGTCGGCCATCTTGGATCCCTTGTTCTTCAGCGGGTCCGTGTTGTCGAACGCATAGCATTACCAATAGTTATTCAACGGCACGAACACCGCTGAGCCTCCAGGACGTTCGGGAGTTTCAGGACCAGGTTCACTAAAAGTAATCGGTTCTTTTCGTGTGTTTTGAAAGAAATGTGTTTTCTGTGCGGCGTTCGGTTATTTTAGCTGGGATCTGAGCGGCAATCTCACGAATGATGCGCCCAGACCCCAGCTATCTACCGAACGTCCATTCGTGTAAATCCACCGTATATTTAATAAGTTATAGATTTTTGTGTAAATTGCCGGTTCTGCTGCACGAGGGGATAATCCCCTTAACGGTGCATTCTGGGAGGATGATCCCTCTCGTGCAGCGGTGCCTGATGGGAGAAATATGTTGTACTGTAAGTCCCCCATGTAGTCCCCTCTGGGAGTGCCCCTGGGGAGGGACTCAGGAAACCCCTTGCATGGGGACTTGTATAAATTGTCTTGCCGATTAAAAGGATTTCAGTTGACTCCCAAAACTGTGTCTCGTCCGGTTATTGGGAGGTTGGGGATATTGCCTTGTTGTTTTCAGCGCTTGACTGTGGATTCGTTTCTGGACCAGCGGAATTCGAGGATTTATTATTGGCGTTCCGCTACAGTACATAAAACCTGAGTCATCACTTATGGACAAGCTCCATTGCCCGAACCCAGACAAAAAAGGCGCTTCACTGCTCAGGGACCCTTCTACATGCTTGGAAAGAGTGGGGTCCATGGGTAGTGGAAGAAGCACCGATAGAAGCATTAGCAGCCTGCTCCCCAGAATTGCAGCTAGGGAGATGGCAGGCGAAGGGCGCGAGAAAGGTCCGCGACCTAGTAAAAGAGGAACAGGCGAAACCATTTCCGAGCTCCAAAAAGAACTAAACCTGGAACCTAGGGACCTCTATCTTTATTTAAGGGTTAAAAATGTAATACAAAACTGTTTCAAAAACATCATAGGCAAACCCTATACTAAGGCCATCACACCCCACCAGTTACTCTTAAGCAAATCAGCCAAACCACTAGCTCTATGCTACCACGAACTTCTCACAAACGCAAACCCAGACAAACTGAAATAGATGTTACAATGGGAAAGAGACATAGGCAATCAGTTCTCCTTAACAGAATGGCATATGGCATTAGCACAAACCAAACAAGCCTCACGCAGTCTTTCGCTGTGGGAGGCTTACTGCAAAATAACAATGAGGTGGTACCTAGTGCCGCACAGACTGGCGAAAATGTACACAGGCTCTTCGGAATTATGCTGGAGATGCGGCACTGGCACTGGAACGATGCTCCACATATTCTGGAGCTGCACCAAGCTAAAAACATTCTGGAACCAAGTCCAGACCATGATCTCTCACAGGACACAGCTTCTCATTGCACCACATGCAGAAAAATTCATACTTCATATCATCCCAGAACTATCTCTACACCCCCATAAAAAGGCAATCTTGAACATCCTCACGATAGCTAAAATAACCCTAGCTGGCAGTTGGAAGAGCACACAGATTCCCCCAATAGACAGTATACGATCCAAAATGGACCAAATAAGCGCATACGAGAGGATGGCAAGCAAAACAAACGGATGCATAGAGAAATATGAGAAAGACTGGGCCAGTTGGCTCACACTTCAGGCAACCTAGCAGAAGCACCTCACAGAGCATCCCACAAAACACACTACAAAACATTCCCACGGCACAGCACACACGGGACCCCACAACTGATATCGGACGGCTGATGTGCACAGATAGGCGAACAAGCTACAGCCAAATGGGCACGAAATATTGGTATTGGTTGACATATATCCCCCGTTACTCCCTCTTTCCTTTCTGTACCCTCTCCCAACTCCCCAGTTAGTTAAATTATTCCATAATGTACTCATCCTACAAAAGCGCATAACAATGGCTAGCGGACGCTCTCAGCTATTACTGACCGCAACTGCTTGCACTCTGTACTTAATGTCGAAATAACAATATTTAAGACTATTCTGTAAAACAATGCTCTACGATGTATGTACTATCTTGTTAAAACATCAATAAAAACTATAAATGAGAAAAAAATGTTAGCAGCAGGTTCGCATAAACTGGCTGAATCCCACCACCCTAAACAGCATTAACCTAACCCAGCATAACCCTTACCTTACCCTAACCCAACCCAAACACTAAGTGTAACGTGTTGGGTGTAATTTATGTTACAGTCAGTTAGTAGGCTGTGCTAAACTAGCCCACCATTTTTATGCATCCTTAAACATTTTTGTTCCATATATATCATGTTTTGTTGGAGTTTTTGCAAATGTGATTCAGCTGTTATCTTTTTTATAGTTAAATACTAAGAGGGTTATTCATTAAAGTTAGCATTGACAGAACTTCAATGTGAATTCAAAGTTAATTTTCCAAGTGAATTCTGTTTTTGGCCTTAATATTGAATTTTGCTATTAATTCCTAGTTTATTGATTAGCCCTGTAAGAACTGAATTTCCAGAAACCATTTTAAACAAAACACTATTACTATAAGATAGGGGTCAGACGGGCTGTGCATAGTTAAATGAGCAGTATGAGTAACTTTCTGATTTGGTGAAAACTCACTGCAGAAGGTGTTATCATGGGGAAATGCAAATCTTTCTAATGTATTGCTTTGCATTATTTGTTTTATAGTACTATGCATAAAATATCTTTAAAAATATGGCCAAATGTTAATAGATTTTGTAGAAACCTTATTACTTTCACATTACTTACACATACATCATCTTTGGGTAACTAAAGCTTTACATTTTGTGAAATTATTCTGCAATACTCACCCATCCAAAATAAAAGGCTCAATGTACCCTCTCTCTGTATCGTTGCTGGCATAGAATGAATTGATGATTAAAATATGAGTTTTAGTACCACTATATTTAGCTTCCAGAGCTACATATAATGGGGTTTTAGGCAAGATTGTATATGCACTGTAAAGCAGATTGGCCAGTCTTGAGTCACTGAAAATGGATATCTTTAATTTTATATTCTCATCGTCCACACATCCAGGAGTGGTGGGATCAGGGGTGGTGGTAGGACTGATGGTTGTAATTGTGGTGGTAGTGGTATCAGGAATGGTGATAGGCTCAGTAGTGGTAGTGGGTTCAGGAGTGGTGATAGACTCAGAGGTGATGGGTGTAGGGCTTGTGGTGGTAGGCTCTGTGGCTGTGGTGGTGGGCTCAGAGGTTGTAGTAGTGGGTTCAGGGGTGGTGGTAGGCTGGAGGGTGGTAATGGTAGTGGTGGTAGGCTCAGGAGTGGTTGTAGACTCAGTGGTGGTGGGTTCAGGGGTTGCTGTAGTAGTGGGCTCAGGAGTGGTGGTAGGCTCAGTGGTGGTAGTTGGTTCAGAGGTTGTGGTAGTAGTGGGCTCAGGGGTAGTGAGGGTAGAGGTGGTAATGCTAGTGGTGGTAGGCTCAGGGGTGGTGGAGGACTCAGTGGTAGTAGGAGGTTCAGGAGTTGCTGTAGTAATGGGCTCAGAAGTGGTGGTGGGTTCAGGGGTTGTATTAGTGGGCTCTATGGTGGTGGGGATTGTGGTGGTAGGACTGATGGTGGTAATGGTCGTGGTGGTAGGCTCGATGGTGGTAGTGGGCTCAGGGGTTGTGGTAGTGGGTTCAGGAGTGGTTATAGGCTCGGTGGTGGGTGAAGGGCTTGTGGTTGTGGTGGTGGACTCAGGAGTTGTGGTTGGTTCAGAGGCTAATGTGGTGGTATGCTCACGGGTGGTCGTGGGTTCAGGGACTGTAGTATTGGGCTCAGGGGTTGTGGTAGGCTCAGGGACTTCAGTATTGGGCTCAGGTGTGGTGGTAGGAGGGGTGGTGGTAGGCTCAGGGGTGGTGGTAGGCTCGAGGGTGGTAATGGTAGTGGTAGTAGGCTCAGTGGTGGTGGTAGGCTCGAGGGTGGTAATGGGGGTGGTGGTAGGCTCAGGGGTGGTAGTGGGTTCAAGAGGTGTGGTGGTAGGCTCAGAGGTGGTGGAGGACTCAGTGGTGGTAGGAGGTTCAGGAGTTGCTGTAGTAGTGGGCTCAGGAGTGGTGGTGGGTTCAGGGGTTGTAGTAGTGAGCTCTAGGGTGGTGGGGATAGTTGTGGTGGTAGGACTGATGGTGGTAATGGTCGTGGTGGTAGGCTCGATGGTGGTAGTGGGCTCAGGGGTTGTGGTAGTGGGTTCAGGAGTGGTTATAGGCTCGGTGGTGGGCTCAGGAGTTGTGGTTGGTTCAGAGGTTGAGGAGGTGGTGGGCTCAGGGGTGGTTGTGGGTTCAGGCACTGTAGTATTGGGCTCAGGGGTGGTTGTGGGTTCAGGCACTGTAGTATTGGGCTCAGGGGTGGTCGTAGGCTCAGGGACTGTAGTACTGGGCTCAGGGGTGGTGGTAGGAGTGGTGGTGGTAGGCTCAGGGGTGGTGGTAGGCTCGAGGGTGGTAATAGGGGTGGTGGTAGGCTCAGGGGTGGTAGTGGGTTCAAGAGTTGTGGTGGTAGGCTCAGGGGTGGTAATGGTGGTGGTAGTGGGTTCAAGAGTTGTCGTGGTGGTAGGCGCAGAGGTGGTAGTGGGTTCAAGAGTTGTGGTGGTAGGCTCAGGGGTGGTGGTAGGCTCAGGGGTGGTAGTGGGTTCAAGAGTTGTCGTGGTGGTAGGCTCAGAGGTGGTAGTGGGTTCAAGAGTTGTGGTGGTAGGCTCAGGGGTGGTAGTGGGCTCAGGGGTTGTGGTAGTGGGTTCAGGAGTGGTTATAGGCTCGGTGGTGGGCTCAGGAGTTGTGGTTGGTTCAGAGGTTGAGGAGGTGGTGGGCTCAGGGGTGGTTGTGGGTTCAGGCACTGTAGTATTGGGCTCAGGGGTGGTTGTGGGTTCAGGCACTGTAGTATTGGGCTCAGGGGTGGTCGTAGGCTCAGGGACTGTAGTACTGGGCTCAGGGGTGGTGGTAGGAGTGGTGGTGGTAGGCTCGAGGGTGGTAATGGTAGTGGTGGTAGGCTCAGTGGTGGGGGTAGGCTCGAGGGTGGTAATAGGGATGGTGGTAGGCTCAGGGGTGGTAGTGGGTTCAAGAGTTGTGGTGGTAGGCTCAGGGGTGGTGGTAGGCTCAGGGGTGGTAATGGTGGTGGTAGTGGGTTCAAGAGTTGTCGTGGTGGTAGGCTCAGGGGTGGTAGTGGGTTCAAGAGTTGTGGTGGTAGGCTCAGGGGTGGTGGTAGGCTCAGGGGTGGTAATCGTGGTGGTAGTTGGTTCAAGAGTCGTCGTGGTGGTAGGCTCAGGGGTGGTCGTGGGTTCAGGGCTTGTAGTATTGGGCTCAGCGGTGGTGGTAGGGCTGGTGGTAAGCTCAGTTGTGGTAGTGGGTTCAAGAGTTGTCATAGTAGTGGGCACAGGAGTGGTAGTGAGTTCAGAGCTTGTTGTAGTAGTGGGCTCAGGAGTGGTGGTGGGTTCAGGGGTTGTGGTGGTAGTAGGCTCAGGGGTGGTAATAGTAGTGGTAGTAAGCTCAGTAGTGGTAGTGGGTTCAGGGGTTGTCATAGTAGTGGGCTCAGGAGTGGTTGTAGGTTCGGGGGTAGTGAGGGTAGAGGTGGTAGTAGGCTCATGGGTGGTGGTAGGTTCATGGGTTGTACTAGTGGGCTCAGGGGTGGTGGTAGGCTCAGTGGTGGTAGTGGGTACTGGGGTTGTTGTAGTAGTGGGCTCAGGGGTGGTGGTGGTAGGTGTTGTAGTAGGGGTGGTAGTGGGTACTGGGGTTGTTGTAGTAGTGGGCTCAGGGGTGGTGTTGGTAGGTGTTGTAGTAGGGGTGGTAGTGGGTACTGGGGTTGTTGTAGTAGTGGGCTCAGGGGTGGTGGTGGTAGGTGTTGTAGTAGGGGTGGTAGTGGGTACTGGGGTTGTTGTAGTAGTGGGCTCAGGGGTGGTGTTGGTAGGTGTTGTAGTAGGGGTGGTAGTGGGTACTGGGGTTGTTGTAGTAGTGGGCTCAGGGGTGGTGGTGGTAGGTGTTGTAGTAGGGGTGGTAGTGGGTACTGGGGTTGTTGTAGTAGTGGGCTCAGGGGTGGTGGTGGTGGTGGTAGGTGTTGTAGTAGTGGTGGTAGGCTCAGGGGTGGTGGTGGTGGGCGGAATAACATAATCTGAAATAAAGAAAAAAAAATACAATTAGAAAATGTAAACATTCTGCCCAATATATAATTACTATATCTCAAAGACATACTACTTTATGCAATGTCTAAACAAATCTTAGGAAGTCTATTATACTGCAATTTACAACTCTATAACTTTGTAAATGTAAAACGTGCATATTCTTACCTGTGCAATAAACATCGTAGGTTAAGAGCCCTGAAAACTTGTAAACATAATATGTTTCACTATTCCTATAACACGCCTTTACTGGGATAGGTGTTCCAGCTTTGCAGCCTGTATCATGATTAATGTAGACAGAAACCATCTTAACTCCTTCTTCAAACGTTGGATGGGTACCATTTAATGAAAGTGGACGTAGAGAATTACATTTTAAGGGTCCAACACATCCGTTTTTTATTCCCATCCCATTTTTATATCTGAACCAGCCAAAATTGTAACGATCGGTGAGGAATCTTTTTGTAGAGTTGATTGAATAGTATCTATCTGATCCATCAAGCCAATCGTAATAAACACAGGGGTCATCACACCCTAGAGTGTTATTTTTTAGGATACAGTCCATGGAATTGTTACATGCAGTGGATGGGCACAGTCTGTTTTTATTATATCTACACAAGTAATTGCCATTGATATTTAAACAATCAGATGTTGTTCCTGAAAGGCAATTGTTCGTAGAAACACATTCATTTATATCTACACATTTTTTTGTGGCAGAATTATAGTAGTATCCTTGATCACAGCAACTACTGCTGCAATACACTAACTTTGTACAGTTAAGGCCATTTCCAAGACTTCCATCCTTGCAATAGCATGAGACATAGGTCCTTGCCGGTATTGTATTTTGAGTAAGACAGACAGCATCAGTCCCGTTACAATCATTACATGATGGGGCATCTGTGTTTAAAAAAAAAAGTATAAAACATAAACAGATAATAAGTAGCAAGGAAAGATTATGTGTGTCCTATTACCTATTGATTGCCAGATTTGACATAGAGATTGTCACTTGCAGGTTTAGTTATTAAAAGAATCCCTTTTTGTCCCTCTCTTTCTACTTTCTACTTTTTTTATTTTTTTTTAAATCACCTTTAGATATATCTAAGAAAAAACAATGACTATGTTTTCCTATGGTTAAGTATGATGTTTAGCAATTTTTTGGCAATGGGTGGAAGTTAAGCAACGTTCCATTTAATTAGTTTGCACACAATCTATTGATAAAACGAATTCCACAGAAGGGCACAAAGCAAATATCATAGGCAGAGGAGAACAAAATGAGTTGCCCAAGTATTGAGATGTGGTGCAAGGAAAGAAAAAATAAGTATAAATGACAAGTGGCTATAGGCAATATAACATGCAAGTGGTATAAGGAAAACAAACTGAAAGAGAAAAAATTATGACAGTGCTGCTTTATTGTGTCTAGTTACAAGTTACATACAAAAGTTAACACAAGTAAGCTGACAATTGTTTGAGTTTTCTCCTGTCTTTGAATCGGAATTGACAGTTAAGCATTACAGTGTTCTAACACAATACCTAAATTTATCAACAAACATGGAATATACATAAACCTGTCAAAGTACCAGATGATTAATAGAAATACATGGTTCTCTAGTTAGTGTGAATAGAATACTGGACTATGGACTTGTTTGCAACCTTGTTGCTACTACTTATATGCAAATATGGCTGATACAAATAGTGGTACAATAGTTTGCATTCGTATGATGAATGCTTCAAATGTCCCGAACTGGTATATAGTAAAATCCCCATAAAAGCAGGTTAGGCTCTTCCATTTGTTACAGTGTCCCAAACTATATGCATATACATGTGTATGTATTTAGTAGATAGCTCCCTAGTTTGGTATGCTTAAATATGGAAATTCCACATAAGTATAACAAATAAGGGAGTTGTCTACTAAACAAAAATAAAATGTGTTTTTAAGTTTTATTATATAAACTAATTATAGTATAGGTTTTATGTGTGGCCCAAGACATTTCCTCTGTGTTCAGCCAATATACACCCATGATATGAGGGGATCTGTGCAGGGTACATGGAGAAATGGGGGGAGCTGTGCAAGGTATAATGGGGCTGTGCAAGGTATAATTGGGAGCTCTGTGCAGGGTATAATGGGGGGCTGTGCAGGGTATAATGGGGGTGAGGGGACTGTGCAGGGTATAATGGAGGTGGGGGGGCTGTGCAGGGTATTATGGAGCCTGTGCGTGCAGGGTGCAGGGAGCCTGTGCAGGGTGGGATATGTAAAATATTAAAGAACATCCCTGGTCTGTCTCTGCCAGGCTGCTCCTAATATTCAGCGAGCACTCTGCACAACAGAAGAGCGAGCACAGGAGAGAGACACTTTCTTTCCTCCAGCCCAACCTCTTCCCTCTCACACAGAGCAAAGCATGGAGGAGACCTGGCAGAGTAGGATGGCTGCCAGGACTAACTCAGAAGAGATGATTGCGTCACTTTACTGGAAAAATGGGGAGGGAAGAACTATTGCTTTCTGGCTGGGAAGATCAAATATAGATCTCCCCAGCCAGAGCATGGCTGTTCAGCCGGGCCTCTGACTGGTTCAGGCCCTCGGTCCACAGCTAGGGGAGAGAGGCACATCGAGAGACACATGGGAGGGAGAGAGACACATGGGGGGGAGAGAGACACATGGGGACTAGGGGGGAGAGAAACACATGGGGACTAGGGGGGAGAGAGAGAAACACATGGGGACTAGGGGGGAGAGAGAGACACACATGGGGACTAGGAGGGAGAGAGAGACACACATGGGGACTGGTTCAGGCCCTCGGTCCACAACCGATCTGCCTGAGTGGTCAGTCCGCCACTGCTCCCCAATCGCTGCAGCTGAGAGAGCATTCAATGAGAGAGCACTTCCCGTCAGATGGATCCCACGGCAGCCACAAACATGTACAGGAGGGAAGGGAGGTAATGGGACTAATGGGGGGCTAGTGGAAAGAAACATATGGAAGGGGACTAGGGGAGAGACATGTGGAAGGGCTGGGACAGCTAGGGGAGAGAGGCACATCGAGAGACACATGGGGCAGGGGGGAGAAAGACACATGGGGACTGGGGGAGAGAGACACATGGGGACTGGGGGGGAGAGACACACATAGGGACTAGGGGAGAGAGACACATGGGACTAGGGGGAGAGACACATGGGGACTAGGGGGAGGGAGAGAGACACACTACAGGGAGAGATACACATAGGGACTAGGGGAGAGAGAGATACACATGGGGACTAGGAGGAGAGAGAGACACACATAGGGACTAGGGGGACACACACACAGGGACTTATGGGAGAGAGACACACACAGGGACTAGGGGAGAGAGGCACACATGGGGACTAGGGGAGAGAGAGACACACACATACACAGGGACTAGGGGAGAGAGAGACACACATACACAGGGACTAGGGGAGAGAGAGACACACACATACACGGGGACTAGGGGGGAGAGAGACACACATACACACGGGGACTAGGGGGGAAAGAGAGACACACACATACACACGGGGACTAGGGGAGAGAGAGACACACACATACACACGGGGACTAGGGGGGAGAGAGAGACACACATGGGGACTAGGGGGGAGAGAGAGACACATGGGAGAGAGACACATACACACAGGGACTAGGGGGAGAGAGACAAACACACATACACATGGGGACTAGGGGGAGAGACACACACATACACATGGGGAATAGGGGGGAGAGAGAGACACACACATACACCCGGAGACTAGGGGGGAGAGAGAGACACACACATACACACAGAGACTAGGGGGGAGAGAGAGACACACACACACTGGGACTAGGGGGGAGAGAGAGACACACACACACACGGGGACTAGGGGGGAGAGAGACACACACACGGGGACTGGAGGTAGAGACACACACACAGGGACTGGGGGTAGAGACACAGACACGGGGACTAGGGGGGAGAGACACACACACACGGGGACTAGGGGGGAGAGAGAGACACACACACACACGGGGACTAGGGGAGAGACACACACACACATACACACGGGGACTGGGGAGAGACACACATGTGGACTGGGGGAGGAACACACACATGAGGGACTGGGGGAAAACACACACATAGGGGACTGCTTGGGGGAGAGAACACAAACATGGGACTAGGGAAGAAGAGCACACACACATACACACGGGGACTACGGGGGAGAGACACACACATGGGGACTAGGGGGGAGAGACACAAACATGGGGACTAGGGGGGAGAGAGGCACACACACACATGGGGACTAGGGGGGGGAGAGACACACACACACTAGGACTAGGGGGGAGAGAGACACACACACATACACACGGGGACTAGGGGGGAGAGAGACACACACACATACACACGGGGACTAGGGGGGAGAGAGACACACGCACATACACACAGGGACTGGGGGGAGAGACACACACATATACACACAGGGACTAGAGGGGAGAAAGACACACACACGGGGACTAGGGGAGAGACGCACACACACATGGGGACTAGAGGGGAGAGACACACAGACACACACGGGGACTGGGGGAGAGAGAGACACACACACATGGGGACTAGGGGGGAGACACACACACATGGGGACTAAGGGGGAGACACACACACACAGGGACTAGGGGAGAGACACACACATGGACTGGGGAGAGACACACACACATGGGGACTAGGGGGAGAGACACACCACATGGGGACTAGGGGAGAGAGACACACACACTGGGACTAGGGAGTGACACACACATGGGGACTGGGGAGACAGACACACACAGACTAGGGAGAACACACACACATGGGGACTAGGGGAGAGACACACACACATGAGGACTAGGGGGGAGACACACACACACAGGGACTAGGAGGGAGAGACACACACACATGGGGACTAGGGGGGAGAGACACACACACACAGGGACTAGGGGGGAGAACACACACACACGGGGACTAGGGAGGAGAGAGACACACACACACATGGGGACTAAGGGAGAGAGAGACACACACACGGGGACTAGGGGGAGAGAAACACACACACTCATGGGGACTAGGGGGGAGAGAGACGCATGGGGGTTGACTTGTTGACAGAAACTCATGGGGGGCTAGGGGAGAGGGACACATGGGTACTAGGGGGAGAGGGAGACACAATCATGTGGACTAGGGGGAGAGGGACTCATGGCGCTTAACTAGGGGCAGAGAGACTCATGGAGGGCTATGGGAAAGGGACACATGGGGATTAGGGGAGAGAGGTTAACTAGGGGACAGAAACTCATGGGGGGGCTAGGGGAGAGGGACATATGGCAGAGCTGGACTGGCCTACAGGGAAATTTCCCACTGGGCCATGGCACCTGAGGCTGGGCTGACAGCCCTAATCATTGCTCAGGCTTCTGTGATCCCGGCCGGCCATGTGTGAGCTGTGACCCCATGGGAACAAGGGGATCCAGGCGGCTGGCACAGCTCACACATGGACGGAATTATTATTATTATTAGCGGGGGGGCCTTGTTAATGCAGCATGGGAAGCAGGAAGGAGTCCCTGCTTCCCCAACAACAAGCCTCCAGAAGCTCCAAGGGATGTGAAGGTAAGAAGCAGGTCAGTATAACTGTCTGCCTGTGTGTGTGTGACTGTCTGCCTCTGTGTGTGTGTGTGTGTGACTGTCTGCCTCTGTGTGTGTTTGTGTGTGACTGCCGGGGTGCCTGCCTCTGTGTGTGGGTGGGTGCCTTTGTGTGTGTGTGCATCTGCTAGTGAGTGAGTGAGCTTCTGTGTGTGTGTGCGCGTGCATCTGCTAGTGAGTGAGCTTCTGTGTGTGTGATAGTGAGCTTGTCTGTGGTGAGCATGTGTGTATCAGAGTTTGTATGTACAAAATTTGTTTGTGTACCAGTAACCTTGTCTGTGTGTGTCATTGAAATTGTCTGTCAATGAGCCTGTTTGTGTGCATCAGTAAGATTGTCTGTCTCTGCATGTGAGTATGCTTTACTGTATAATTACCCTAAAAGGACTAATATTTTGAATTGAAAAATAAATATTCCAATATTATCTCTCAATCTCTCCACAATGACTTATGGGGCTGCCATAGATTTTTTTTTTTCAGGGCTGCTTTGTGTCCCCAGTCCGGCCCTGCACATGGGGACTAGGGGAGAGAGACGCATGGGGGTTAACTAGGGGACAGGAACTCATGGGGACTGGGGGAGATGGACACAGACACATGGGGACTAGGGGAGAGATGCATGGGGGGTTAACTAGGGGACAGAAACTTATGGGGGCTAGGGGAGAGAGACACATGGAGGGAGGATGGGGGACAGAGTGGGCTTGGGGAGACACATGGAGGTAATGGGGGGTTGGGAAGAGAGAAACACATGATGTGGTTGGGGGGGCTAGAGGAGAGATACATATGGGGGCTAGGGAATGAGACACATGGACAGGCTGGGATGGAATGAGATGCACAGAGATGCTAGGGGGTGGAATGAGACATACAGGGGACCTAAGGTCAATTTTCGCATGGGGGCCTGGTGGTTCCTAGTTACAACTGTGATGACAGGGTTAAGTCAACCTCTAGTTTAACTTGCCACGCATGCACATTAGATCTTTCATTGTCCTCATGTCATGGAAGGAGTTGATGGAGCGAGGGAACTTGGTGCTGGAATTAAGGTGAGTGAAATAAGGGTTTTCAACCCTTTATACACAAGGGAGGGCATCTAATACATTAGGGACAGAGGCATACTATAGCATTAAGTTTTGTATTCCTAACACTATAGCGCTCCTTTATCTCACTTTATTTATTTTATTGTTTTGTAATATCATCCACCAGAATACACCTTTTGTAGTATTTTATTGCTGGAACTAAGCTGACCAAAGGGCTTTTTGAACCAGGCAAATTTTCCTTAACTTATAAAGCTGTGCAACTGCAACTACAAAGGATCCTGGCAAATCTCACATATTAAATAATGTATTACATTTTTATAATGCATTACAGTGACATCAGAGACAGTTTATAAGCGATCCATCCATTCTCATAATATATTTTTCGTGGGGGGGGGGAATCTTCCCTATCCCACTACTTCATGCACCCATGCTAGTTATGGTCAGATTTCAAAAGTGCCCAAGAGAATTGTCCTGAACAGAAGTATGAATAGAAAATTGTAGTGTTCTGGTTTGGAGTTTATATTTGGTGTAAAAAACAAGTATAAATTATTTCTCAATTAACTGATGAAATATAACACTGGGATCCTTGTCAATGAGTGATATTAACCATATACTTTAAAGAATCAACTTTAGTAATATGCTGCAATACAAGCACTAAAATAATTGAATATTGCATTTTTTTCTCATGATAAGAGCAACAAACCAGTATCACTGAATCTTGAAGGTTGGATACTTACAAAGGGCTGAAAAATAAAATAGAAGACACAATGATTAGTGCAGTGAAAGCTGGGACAGATTTGTAGTCCAGATTCACTTTAAGAGAAGATACAGTACAAGTATAGACACACTGAGTTTAAAGATTTAAAATGGAACTTAGATCAAATTGAAGCATACTTATTGCTTAAATCTGTACTGAATTGGTCATGCATACAGTTATTTAAGAAAATATAATGAATTAATAAATAATCGTCTGTGTAGTACAGTGATTGAAAACATGATCTGTATATTTAAGTAATGTATTGCATTGTTATAATCTATTACAATGACATCAGGAACAGCTTATAGGGGATCTATCGCTTCTCATGCCCAGAATATATTTTTCTGGTGGGAAACATCTTCCCTATCCCACTGCTTCATGCACCTAATCTAGTTCTTTTGGTCGGATAGCAAAAGTGCTTAAGAGAATAGACCTTTTTAAAGTATGAATAACAAATTGCAGTGTTCAGTTTGAAGGATACATTTGTCTGGTGTAAGAAAAGAGTATAAATTATGTGTAAATTATCTGACAAAATATAACACTATGATCCTTGTTAATGAGTAATATAAACCATATAATTTAAAGATTCTACTACAGTAATATATTGCAATGCAAGCAAATTTACAAAAAATATTGAATATTGCACTTTTTTCAAAATAAGAGCAACAAACCAGTATCACTGAATCTTGAAAGTTGGATACTTACTAAGGGCTGAAAAATAAAATAGAAAACACAATGATTAGTGCAGTGGAAGGTGTGTGTAGATCAAATTTACTTTAAGAGTAGATACAGTACAAGTGTTGACACACTGAATTTGAAGAGTTAAACTGGAACTTTGATCACATTGAAGCATATATATTGCTTATATGTGTGCTGAATTGGTCTTGCATACAGGTGGTCAAGAAAACATAATGAGTGAATAACAAAAATACAAGATTTTTTATGTCAATGTATTAATTGACCCTTGTAAACATTCTGGTTGCACTGCATTTTATGTCAAAATCCAATTCACTAACTGACATGTCTAAGCAGCTTTGCCAGAAATGTTAAAATTATATGTAGATGGTATCAATTCCAGCCAGATTACAGCAAATGTACCCAGATGCTTCCAATAATTGCTGGAGATACTGTGGAGGACTGGGTAACATGGTGGGTATGCACAAGGGAAAATCTTTCTGGAAAGATGTTCGCACATCTATTCAAATTGTGGCTCTCTTGTTGAATACTATCCTTTATTTAAATTGGTTCTGAGATGATTTAGTAAATCAGGAAAAATGTAATCTTGCATATTTTAACGGGACACTACAAACCAATAAAACACTTCAGCTTGCTGGAAGCTTTTATGTGTGACTAGTGTGTTCTCTTTTTTTTTTTTTTCATTTTGGGAAAAATTGCAGATTTTAAATAGAAACTGACACTTTTTATAAATTATACTGCCCTGCATTTTCAAACAGAAAACAGCTCCTGGTTTGGTTAGTTTATTTGCACTGAACACAAAAGGCAGCAATTACTGAGAGCACCTGCCTTGCAAAGACTTCTCACTGAGCTGTATTGGCAAGTTTGATTGGACACCCAGAGAAAGTCTGGGTGGGGTTGGAAGGGGAGGGTTTACAAAGGCAGAAGACAAGAGATCTGCATTTTTTGCAAGCTGTATTTAGATATAACTCCAATGAAACATTGATTTTTATTTATTTGTATTTGGGTAGTGGAGTGTTCTTTTAATAGCAGCAACTTCTGTGTTACCGCAATGCTGAAATACCCCTACGAGAGGGAAATCCTTTCTATGTCTATTGAAAAAAAAAATTATGAGCTAGCCACTGGAAATCATCTCTTTATGCTCAATTAGGACAAACTTGGAAAAGGAACATTGTATAGATAAATTATTGTCAAGAAGTTGAAATGTTTATTTTTTCATATTAATTAAAAAATAATTATTGGTTATATGTTTGTTTACGGGTAAAGGTCATTGTGGATGCAATACTGCATATCATTAAAATATGTTTAGGCATTTCAAATGTTAAGGTATGTATATTTAACATGCATGTTATTTCCCCCCTTCCACTGTCCCTTTTTTTTTTTTTCCTATTATTGCTATTACATTTGTTTACAAGTTTATGACATGTTAACATTTTTATAAAAACTTTAAATATCTACTAAACAGTGATTTTATTTATTTGATATTTGGGCAGGAGTGTCCCTTTAAGTATGCTCTCTAAGGAAGCCCCAGATTGTCTTAGTAAAAAGCTGTTCCCCCACAGAAAAAAAATCCTAGGTTGATGAGAACAGATAACATGATTTGATTTGTTACTGTACTTCTAACACCAAATGTGCATTACTTTTTTTTTTTTTTCAAAAGAAGGACCTTTTATTGAAGAAACACTAATAAGATCAAAAAGAACTCTATTGAAAGAGACCCAGGCAATGCTCAATCCCCAAGTCGTAAGTCAGAAATTCTCTAGCTATCTGCTAAATGAAAATAACCCACTAAATTGTAGATTTCCCTGTCTACTACCATAAGTCTTATGGAGGTTGAGGTGGTTTAACCTTAAAGAAATTAAAACTGCTTTGGATACTTTTTTTTTTTTTTAAGTCACTTATCAATTACTTAATTTAGACATGTTATCTATAAATTAACAGTGAGACAACATATGCTGATATCATTTGGGGATGAGTTTGGCAGGGAGTATTCAGTAGAGTTATGATGAAATGGAAGGCGGGGAAATATATATGTCAGTAGATACTAGTATAATGGGCAATAACCACTTTAGGTAAGTATGTGTTTTAATTCACAGTATATATAACTGAGAAGGCCTTTTTCTTTTATACCATAATGTGTGTGAGAGGTGTTCATCCAGTATTCCTCTAAAAGGAGATGGGTAAACGTATGGGGAGTAGCAGCAAACAGCAACTGCTGTATAGGAATAAACATACAGATGTGAATTAAAACACATACTTACCTAAAGTGGTTATTGCCCATTATACTAGTATCTACTGACATTGTATAAGTACTTGGTAAAATAACATATACTCACCTTGTGAATGGCACTGGTTAATACAAAGAGTTAAGAACACCATCCCCCACAGAATGTTGAAATTCTCCATAATTGCTGTAGAAAGAAGGTAATTAAAAATGAAAATTAAGAGCTTTCCAATTTGGTGTTACACGGCTTATGCAGATGTGGCATTGTCATTTTATCATCACCTAAACTAAATAACAAATGGAGCATTCAGTGACACAATGGTTCACAGGCCATTTATGATTGTTCTTTCATAGAAGTTTGTGTCTAAAAATATAGCATTGTATTCATTATATATTTGTGTAACACATATATGTTAATAGGGTGCATGCGCCTGTTAACTACCACTCGTTTTTATAGGTACTTAATTAAATATGGTTCAAAGAGGACCAAAGCACTAGATTATTTGTCCATAGATATCTTTCCAATAGTCTTGTGTATTAAAGATTTTGAGCAAATTGAATGCCTTTAAAACTGCACCCGAACAAGTTGATCAATCTGGGATTTGCCTGGGAAATCTTATTCAATGAATAAAACTTAATAGGTAAATTCTGGACGGAGCAATGCCTTTGGGCTTTGATTAAAATGCAGTTGATTTGTTCACTGAAGCTGAACGAATTAATGAACAAGACTAAAATCCACTTGGTATAACTACTGAAAGGCACACAATTAAACAGAGTAATTTCCTGGAAAGGTAACTCACTATACTAGGATCTTCTAAAACTTAGGGACAGTAATTTCTCTTTCTTGAAATGTCTGAATCAACATTTTACTGAAAGTTATGTGTTTTAGCTTTGCTAGATCTGTAGCTTGTTCTGACTTAAAATCAAATTTTTGTTCTCACAATTTCTAACTGATAATATACATATTTCTTACCTTTTTTATGTTTGTGTTATCACACCTGGATAGTCCCCTTCTCCAACTCAGGGTGAAGTGACGACTGTTTTTAAAGGAAAATGTATGCAATAGAGGTGGACTTAAACCAAAAGGAGTGGCATTTTCAAAGGTATACATAGTTATAATAGTTTTCTGATGATCATAACCTAGAGGACTTTCCAACCTTTTAACTGACAGTGTGACATTCCTCTGTGAGCAGCAAATAGGTCAACTTTACAATTTCTTCATCAATATTTCGCATTTCAGCAAATACTTCCTCAATTCTTATGCATAATTGCCACTGGGTCTATGCTGCAAGACATTTTGATGTATTCATACTGATGTCACTGTACCTAAGTGGTACATTTTCTTTAGACCTGATGCAAAACTGAAAGGTGGATTAAGTACAAAAAAAAAAAAAAATAGCTACAGTAGCTGTTGGAACCAAGTGCCAGTAACACAATGATTTGGCATTTTAAACTTGATTTAACCAGTTAAGGCCACAGCCAAATGTACAAGTTGTGATCAAAACAAAACCTGGCATTTGCACTATGTCTGTCCAACCGTAATTCACCTCTTTCATATTAAATGCACCCACACTTATTATTATATGAAAACAAAAAGAAAAGCGTATACCGCGCCTAATAATTTATATATGTAAAAAATACATACATGTATCCTTGAATATTCCAAATGAATCGTAACCTCAAAAAGAATTAAGATAAAAAATAATAGTGCAATACAGTAAATATACTCTTAAGGACAGATGGTATAAAACTATGTACAATCCACTCACATATGAATGAGCTATAACAGAGCTCTGCTGTAAAGCGCCTGGACGGTACAATCCCCGTCTTTGGATTTGCAGAAGTTGCCACGAATATTTCCACAGTGCAGTGAGCGTAGTAGATATAAAAGAAAAAATAGCAGCAGTATGGTGAAGTAAGTACTATTAATATAATAAGTATTAAATAGTATTGTACTTACAATTTCTAGAGCATAAATCCTGCTGTAGTATAAACAGCATAGGTGGTATAATCCCCACCAAGGATATACAGGATCCAGGAAATAAAAAAAAAAATTAAAGTAGATATAAAAGTAACTTTAAAAGTATACTTTAATATAAACAAACAGAATAAAAGATAAAATGTATAAAACATAAAATATAGTCCCACTTAACGCGTTTCGCCAGGTTGGCTTCTTCAGAAGTGTGGTATAATGTCCAGTAAGTCCGTTTATATATCCTTATTGATGAAGAGATGGTATCCTGGTGTGTTTACTTCCTGCTTCCAGCTTGTTGCTGACACGCACGCGTCATACCGGAAGTGACGCGGCACCCGCGTCATACCGGAAGTGACGCGATACTCGCGTCCGACCGGAAGTGATCTCTGCATTTCAATACAAAAAAATGTTGTATCTAGGCGCCTCAAAGCATACGTATCACTATCAATAAATGGTGTACGTAGCGTTTCGAGCGTCACCCGCCCCAGCCTCCAATCCTAGAGAGTGTGGGCATATCGTAGTGCAAATACAATGCAGCGGCCATCTTTGTTGAGGGCAAACATCAATTTGGGAAAAAACTAATTAGAATAGTTTAATAACAGAGATATAAGTCTTATTTATAGAAAAATAAGATAAAAGCTGCACATATGTAGTATATAAATAATAAAACAATAGAGAAAAAGGTAATATAAAATATAGAGAAAAAGGTAATATAAAATATAAACTTTAAGATAGCTGATAACTATAACAATTGGTTCTATAATACAGAGATAAAAATGGCACATATAGATATTATATGTAAATGATTTGACATAATAATCAGAATTATAAACAACCATAAAACATAAAACATTGAAGGTATTATGAAAACCCAATAAATGTGGGACATGCTATAAAAAAAGATGGACAAGAATGATGAGAGAGAAAAAAAAAAAAAATTGGGAATAAAAAATTAATTCTAATCATTTATAAAAAATTAAATAAATCAAAATCAACATTCAACCCCTTGGGGTGTAGGGTATCTAGTTGATATACCCACTGCATTTCAGTTTGTCCAATCTTTCTTATAGCATCTCCCCCTCTCCAGTGATTCTTAACTATTTTGATCCCAATGAACGTGAGGTGCTTAGGGTCATTATTATGCATGCAAAAGTGCGCTGGTATTGAGTGATTCTGTAGACCTTTTTCTATATTTCTACACTGTTCTGCGATTCTAGTTTTTAGTGGCCTGATCGTTCTTCCTACATATTGGAGGCCACACGAACATTCCAATAAATAAATCACATTTTTACTATTGCATGTAATGACCTCTTTTATATTGTATATTTTGTTGGTATTGTTTGATTTAAAATCAGTGATCATTCTTTTAGTAGTTTTTGTTTTTTTACATGCCATATAGCAATTACATTTGTAAAAACCTTTTTTGTCCATAAAATTATTAGTTTTATTAGGGCTATTATTTGTAAAATTCTTTGTTAAATGCATTTTAAGATTAGGAGCGCCTCTAAATATTACTTTTGGTTTATCGGGAATTATTTTTCCTAAAACTTCATCTTCTTTTAATAAGTGCCAATGTTTTATTAAAATTTTCTTCAATTGTCTATTTTTATTGTTGTAATCTAATACAATAGGTAAAGTAAAATCACAATTATTCTGATTCACTGAACTTTTAACTCTATGTATGAGTTGGTTCCTATTAATTGTAGCTGTTTGGTTGATAGTTGAATCAATGTGATTAGCGTCATAACCCTTTTGTATAAAGCTTTCCCTCAGTGTATTAGCTTGCTTTAAAAACACAGCTTCATCTGAACAGTTTCTTTTAAGGCGCATCATTTGACTTTTAGGTATACTATCTAGCCATATTTTATTATGGCAACTTTTAGTACTTATATAATTGTTTACATTTACTTCTTTAAAGTGTGTTTTTGTTTGTATTGTGTTATTTTCAATGTATATATTTAAATCTAGATACGTAACCATAGTACTACTAAAATCCGCTGTTAAAACTATGCCTTCTTCATTGTTGTTTAAAAAAGAAATAAAATCCTTGGCTGAACTAATAGGCCCCTTCCAAATGAACAGGAGGTCGTCTATGTAACGAGAATAGGAAACCAGGTTCTGCACCCAGCCATGCCCCCTCCACACGGACCGATCTTCCCATTCGGCCATATAGACGTTGGCATAGCTGGGTGCGAACCTAGTACCCATAGCTGTCCCGGTTTTCTGTAAAAAGAAACTATCTTTGAACCAGAAATAATTATGTTTCAAAATTAAATCTATGCCGTCAATAATAAAATCTCTTTGTTCTTGGAACATAGAGTCATCCCGTTCTAAAATAGATCTGATTGCCTGGCATCCCTTATCATGTTGGATAATCGTATATAATGATTGTACGTCGCATGTAATAAGTATATAATAATTTTTCCAATTTATAGTTTGCAGTTTTTTCAAAAGATCTATTCTATCTTTTAAATAAGATCTTGTTTGTTTGACGTACGGTTGTAACATTATATCGATATATTCCGATAGGTTTGAAAGAAGGGATCCTATTCCTGACACAATGGGGCGTCCTGGAGGGTCATTTAAGTTTTTATGGATTTTTGGGAGAAAATATATCACTGGGATCCTAGGGTATTGTATTTTAATATAATTGAACTCCTTCTCACTTAAAATCCCAGTGTCTTTTCCCTTCTTTAAAAAATCATAAAATTCAGTTTTTATATCCACTGTTGGATCATTATCTCATTTGATGTAGGTATTCTGATCGTTCAGCTGTCTATAAGCTTCTGCTTCATATTTTTCTTTAGATTGAATGACGAGACCTCCGCCCTTATCGGCTGGTTTAATTAATATTGAGGTGTCGTCATATAGCTCTTTTAATATTTTCATTTCTTTCCTGTTCATATTTGGTTTGTCTCTTATTTTTTTAGTGTCTAAAAACTTTAAGTCCTTACATACTTTTTTTTCAAATATATCTAGAGCACTAGATTTGAAGTGTGCAGGGTAGAAAGTAGATTTATTCTTCAATTCACTACTTTTATATTTTGTTGTATTTGTATGATTAGAATTATCTTTATTAACAAAAAAACGTTTTAAAGTCGCATTCCTGACAAATTTATTTACATCTATATAGGCTAAAAAAGATTTATATGGTTTCGTAGGGGCAAATTTTAGGCCTCGTTTTTATTTGTTTCTGTTGTACTTAGAACTTTGTCTGATAAATTAAAAATACCAGTAGGTGTCTCTTGTGTTTTATGATCTAGAAACTTTCTAGCCTTCCTTTTTTGTTGTCTTCTGCCTGATCTTCTCCCTCTAGTCCTCTCTTGCGACTTTTTATAGGTGTAATATTGAGATGATGAATTTGTCTTTCTCTGTTGGAGGGGATCTCTAAAAAAGATGTTTCGTCAAATTGATCGCAGAAGGATAAGGCATGATATTTATTATTTTTAATTAGATCTTGTGATGATGATGGTTTATTCTCATCTTGTCTTTTATATGTTTTTTGGGGGTTTTCCCAAGAGTACTTTCTGTTTCTTTGTTTCTGTATAGGTGAGTCCGGTATAAATGTGTATCTGTGAGTTTTAGGTCTTACAACTAAAGGTGATTCTTGAACTCCGTGGTGTGTAGTGTATTTATGTTTGTCAGATTCTTCAGTTTTTTCAGGCTAACATGAATTGGGGGGTTTTCTCTGAAAGTGAGTGTTTTGAAAGTGCGCATTTTGATGATGTCTAGTATGAAATCTGTCATATCTCGTGTTATATCTTTCGTTCTTTGTGTTATACCTTGGGGATCTATCTAAAGATCTTTGACGGTTGTTGTGAGGGTGCTTCCTTTCATAAAATTCTTTGCTTTGTAGCCTTTTAGGTCTAAAGGGCTGACTACCTTGTGTATTCAAATGGTAGTATGTTGCCCCGTTCCTCCATCGATTTTGAATATTATTTTTTTTAAATTATATGTGTGAACTTGTTTTTGTGCATAATCATATTTGTCTCGATTGTATTTCTGAATTTTTATCTTCTTTGTGTCAATTTCAATTTTTTCTACAGTTTTTTTAAT